CCGCCGCCGCGCCGCCGCCCCCTTGTCTCGGTGTCGGCATCGGCGTCACCCCGCGCACCCCCCCCGCACCCCTCCCCTCCCTCCGCCCCGGGCTCGGGGCTCCGGCGGCAGCCAATCAGCGCCCCGCGCCAAACCTGCCTTCAAAACTCACCGCCCAATCACCGCCCCCGGCTGGCCCCGCCGCCGCCAATCCCCTGCCGGGGCGCCGGAGGATGATTGGGTGACCGCCAGGCGGCAGCGCTGATTGGGCAGCCTAGGGCGAGTTCTGCTTTTCGATTGGCTGGAGGGCGGGGGCTCGCTTTGACAAAGGCCATCCTCTTCCGCCGCCCGCCCCCCGCGCGTGCGCGGCTGGCGCCGTGTGCCCGCGGGCCGCTCGCTGCTCCCACACGCCTCAAGCGATTGGCCGCAGGAGGCCGTCCCGCCTTTGTTGATTTGTCCCTTTTGATTGGCTGAGACGCGCCCTTCTTCTTATTTAATTGGGTAGCTAGCTATCACTCAAACCTGCCCCTTGGGGGTGGGGCTTGGCCGCTGTTCCTCCTTTCCCATTGGCAAGCCAGGATGTCAATCAAGTGGGAACCGATCGGCGCGAAAGGAGTGTCGCGCCTTAAAGGGCCAGGCAGGAGCGCAGGGCTCCCGGCCGATATGGCGGCGGCGCGCGGTCCCCAGCGCACGGTGAGACTCGGCCGCGCCTCTGAGGGGGCGGCGGCTCGGGGAGGGACGGGGGGAGCCCGTCTGGGTCCCGGCCCCGCCGTACGGCGCCGGGGGTGAGGGCTGGTGGGGTCTCCTGAGGCGTGCGGTGCTGCGCCGGCCGTACGGGAGGGGGCGAGGCGGGCCCGGGGCCTTTGCCCGCACCGGAGCCGCCGTGAGGGGAGGGGTGGGCAGGGTGAGGGAGGGTCGGGCTGGTGTGAGGCCGTGGCCGGGCGGTGCGGGGTGGGCGGCCTGGGCTGCCCGCCCCCGGCCTGCCCGGAGCAACGCGGGCGGTGAAGGCTGTCATTTCTTTGAAGTGCAATATGTAGATACGTATATACACGTATTTTATAATAAGGGGCAGAAAAGGATAAACGTACTCCGGTATTTAAAGCAGCCCTCTTACTGTCCCCCTGCCAGTGTCGGGAGAGCGTGTGTGTAAGCACACGGGATTAAGGCATTGTAATTCGGTTTGTTTCCAGAAATAATTTGGGGTCCTGACTCTGAAAATGCCTGTTCTAAAGGCAGGTGAGGCTTAATTTAGCGTCTGGATGGGTAATTACAGGCCCTGAGGCCGGCACAGTGAGCTGCGGCCTCCCGTTGGAGACCTGGCTGTGGGTTTCATGTCCTCTCCCTCAGGCTTGTGAGGTGAAAATGTTCCCTCAGACTCAGGTCTAACTTCAGGATGTACCTGTGTCCCCAGGCCTGTGCGGGAGCAGCTGGCAGGTTTGGAGGTGACACGTAGGTGGCTGGGTGCAAGGAGTTGGAATTTCCCCATTTGGGTTCCTTCCCAGGTGCCGAGTGTAGAGGAGGAGCGGGACCCATGTCTGCTGGTGGCAGGTGATGTGAAGAAATGGAGGCTTGGCTGGAGCAAGCACAGTGTGCTGTGCTGAGCTGGGTGGAGGCTGCTGGCCTCCACCAGAACGTCACCTCAAACACAAATTTCCACTTGGGTTCCTTGGTGGGCATTTTGGCTTTAGGTTTATAGCTCCCTGAAGTCAAATTCAGGGAATCCTAAAGTCAAATGAGTACTGTGTCCAGCTGTGGAGTCCTTAACGCAGGAAGGACATGGATCTCTTGGAACAGGTCTAGTGGAGGGCCACGAAGATGATCAGAGCGATGGAGCACCTCCCCTATGAGGACAGGCTGAGAGAGCTGGAGTTCTTCAGCCTGGAGAAGAGAAGGCTCCGGGGAGACCATATAATGGCCTTCCAGTATCTGAAGGGAGCCTAAAGGAGAGCTGGAGAGGGACTCTTTGTCAGGAAGTGCAGTGACAGGACAAGGGGTAATGGTTTTAAACTGGAAGAGGGGAGATTTAGATTAGATATTAGGAAAAACTCTTTCCTGTGAGGGTGGTGAGACACTGGAACAGGTTGCCCAGAGAAGTTGTGGATGCCCCGTTGCTGGAGGTGTTCAAGGCCAGGCTGGATGGGGCTTTGAGCAACCTGCTCTGGTGGGAGGTGTCCCTGCCCATGGCAGGGGGGTTGGAACTCAATGATCTTTGAGGGCCCTTCCAATTTTAACCATTCTATCATTCTATGAAATTTTTTTTTTTTGCTTGGCATTTTTTGGTGAGTAGCTGTGCCTTATGCATGCCTTAGAGTAGAGGTGGTGAAAAGGGTGCTGCATGATGGTGTGGAAGATGCGACACCTGAGAGTTCATGGTTTGGGGTCTCCACAGCTGTGTGGTGGGCACCCAGCTCGGTGTGTTCTCTGAGGGCACTCCACCTCCACAGTGGGCCCCTGTGTTTGCACCTGCACCAGCTGGAATGGTGACAAGAAGATTTGAGGACTCTTATATCCTTCCCGACTGGTATTTTTTCTAGCATGCACAGGCAATGATGGCAGAAAATTGGTTTTAGTTTTAAGTAGATGAATGTAGGCTATTTAATTAATTTAGTTAATAAACCAGAACTTTTAGGAAAATAGTTGCCCACTGAAGAATTTTTGTGTGTGTTAAAAAAAAAAAAAAAAGAAAATAGCAAACTTTACACTTTCAGAACTTTGAAAATAGTTGCTTTTAATGCATTTGTCACACTACAACAGAAACTTAACAAAAAAAATACTACATGTTGCCAACATATTTTTTTCCCTTATTTGATGTAATGGCTTGACTAAGTTAACTTTTTAATGTCTGCTTTTAACTAGAGATGTTACATATATTTAGGGCACTCCTGACTCAGGTCAGTATCAGGCAGGCACAGACAGCTCTTGGGTTGGCCTCTGGGTGATAGGGGCTGTTCTTCCCACCCTGTTCTCCCAGTAATGCAGCACTGAGGGACGAGAGCAGGCTTACGTTGAGATTGTCCCTCCAAAATAGCTATTTTGAAAGTTCTGAGAACTTCAGACTGAAGTTGATAAATTTCAGCCTTTTTTTTTTTAACTTTGTAACGAAGTGTATGAACACCTGGGTGTCACTTAAAGCATTAACATGCTTCATTTTTTTTTTTGTTCTTTTCTGAGCACCTATTTCAGAACTTGCAACACACCCACTCTAATTTAGTCCTTTTTTCCAGTGCTGAAGTGCTGGTACCAAAGGTGCTGACTTGGTGCCTTTGTGCTTTCTTGTTGCAGTTATTGCCAGAGAAGCTTCCTGCACTTTTCTGCCTCTTTGGTTCTACAGCTTGTTCATAAAGCACTGTTATTTTTCCTGTCCATGGATCTAGTCAAAATGTGTATGGCAATGAGACCAACATAAGGATTTTTTTTTTCCTTTTCCTTACTGAAACATTTGATTTATTTTTTTTTTAAGTCTCCTGGATAGTTTTTTATGATGTGTTGTATTTTTTTAGTGCATTAGAGGAGTAACAGTGTTCTGGTGTTGTTTTTTTTTTACCATCTATGCAAGTTCCTTGCTTTGAATACCCCAAGTTGCTGATTCTTATTTGAAAACTTTTCATATGAGGTTGTATTTTCTTTTGGGTTTTTTTTTTCCCCTTCCCTTTGTGTTTAGGCTTTGGGAGCTTCAGGAGTTCACTGCATGGTACCATTGTGTTGATCTATGGCTGCTCTCTGTTTTTAGTGGTAGCAGCAATGGATTTGGAAGGTAATGTCCTTAGACCTGTGAAGGTTAGATGTGCTCAGCTCAGTACCGTTATGTCACAGCGGTGCACTTGGCTCCTTGTGGGACAGTTAATCTTCTTCATTTACGATTATGAGGCTTTAGTGTGGCTTAAGGAAAGAAAGACTACAGGGAGTACCCGGAAAGGGAGGAGATTTATTTAGCAAATGTGGCCTAGCTGAGATTCAGCATGAATGTACAGAGTTCCCCAGTTTTCATATGTACTTTTTTTATGTTTCAAGATTTTCCCCAAGCCTCACTGTGTGGTGCTCCCCATGAGAATTTCCAAGAGCAGAAACAGACTTACGTAATTTTTAACTACTTGAAAAAGTAAAGAGAAGAGCAAAGAATTGGTGTGATATTAGAGTCTGAGATTGGTGATGGAAATTCTTTGATTCTCTTTCATAAACTTTCTCGGTTTTTCACTCAGGTGTATTGAGAAGTCACTGTTTGTGAAACAGAATAGAAAACAGTCCTAAATGTATAAGGAAAATATACCTGGTAGCAAGTGATTGTTTAGACTGAAGCAAAGAATGATTGCTGATACTATAGACAATATTTCAGCACATTTTTTTCAGTATTTGTTTCAAGCAGATATCTGTACTGACTATTACACTTTTCAAATTAGTGCCTGTACTCTGCATTCAGGTGAAATGTAAAAAACAGGCAACTAGTTGAAAGCCTGTATTTGTTTTGGTTTTGGTTTTTTGTAGCTTGGTGTTCAGCTGTTTGAGTACCCTAACTTTTTAATTTGGTTAATCTGCTGTTGGCTAGATGGGTGTTAGTTATGCCAGTAAAAACAAACAAGAACCCCTGTAGTTTGGGGTTTTTATGTAATTATTTTTAATTCACAGACAAGATTTTACAGCTGGATAATAAAGACATTTAGAAAAAGTTGTGATGCTGGTAGCCCTGCTTTGATTTCAGACTCATTCCCATTTTCTTTTGCCTGGTTTGTGGGGTACCTTTGATTTGGATCAATATCATATAAAAATAGCAGCTGGATATTTGAATCAATATATCAATATTTTGCTGTTTGGGCTGCTGAGGTTTGTGTTGCTCTTCTCATTCTGTTGCCTGCTCCATAAAGTACTATGGCTTGCTTGGCTCATTTTTACTTCGTTATTTGGTCTTTGGTTTTATTCATTATTCTGCATTCAGCATCCTGCAGTGCTGATGATATTTTTGCAGGAGTGAAGTTTAGGTCTTAATGTTAGCATCTAGCAGGCTTTCATTGAGGTTTCAACATTACACACTCTACAAAGTTAGACCATAAAACGTTGTGTGCATGCATGCAAAAATCTGTTCAAAATATTTTTAAGATCTTCTTAATTAGGGATTAGTGTTCTAATTGGCTTTCTATGGCAGCAAAAGTTCTTGTGCAAATGCGATTATTACAAGAAAAGGCCTTAAGTTGTGCAGGAAAATATTATAAATGTAAACTGCAAAGCATTTATAAGACTGTGTTTAGGAGCACTGATCGATACATTCAGGGTACTTGGGGTCCTAATTTTCTTGTCCGCAGTGAATCACTTTATAAGAGGAAATTAACTGCCTATAGGCTTTGAATAACTTATATGTTTTCTTAATGTTTTTGTCCCTGTATTATTTTTCTTCCTCATAATGCATTTTGGGCTGTTATCTAATTTGCCATGAGATACTTACATAAATACTCTCTGTGTTTTAATAAAAGTCACAATGTGCTCCCAATAATTGATGTTTACAAAAGCTTTAAAAAAAACCCGTGGCAAGATCAGCAATTGCTCAGTTGTCAAATGAGTGAAGTAGATGCTCTGTGGAAAGCTGGAGGAGCATTGCATCTGCCTGCAGCCCACTTCTCTCTCAGGTTACCTTCAAATTCTGTTACTGAAATGTTTAGTGGAAGGTGCAGTTGAGAGAAATGACTAGCACCTTAAAAACAAGCGTTTGTATTTTATGTAATTCATGTACAGAAACCAGAAAGCTTAAGCCAGGCAGCCAGTCTCGGAGTCAAAACCATAAACATATCCCGACTGCACAGCGTGTTCACAGCTCAGTGGTCCCCTCTGGTCACTGCTACATCCAAAACAGCAAAGGTTTGGGAAGTTGATGTAGCCTGCTGGGAAATCCGTGGTCTGTGTTTTTGAGAGCAGTCTCAAGCTGATCTAACAGCATGTTGGTGCTCAGGGGCAGAGGTACCTTCCTGGCTGTGATTTGCTGCTGCTTTTTTCTTGTGCTGGTGTCACTAATCAGGTGTAGCATAAAGTCACGTAGTTGTGGAGGTTCAGTCTGTTCATGGAAGGGTAGGAAAGGCAAATTGAAGCTAGTGGAAAAGAGGTTGGGACTATGCAGCTGGGAAGGCAGGGTGAGGAGATAGTGTCCTCTGCCCCATCCACAGTCAGGCTATTACAGAATCACAGAATCTTCTAGGTTGGAAGGGACCTTAAAGATCATCTTGTCCAACCGTCAACCTAACTGACAAAAATAGACACCCGCACAACAAACAAGGAGCATCATCACTAAACCATACCTCCCAGCACTACATCAACCCGTCTTTTGAACACCTCCAGGGATGGTGCCTCAACCACCTCCCTGGGCAGCCCATTCCAATGCCTGAGAACCCTTTCTGTGAAAAAATTTTTCAGATGTAGAACTGTGGTCCTGGGTGTGCTTCTATCAGGTTTGGCACCTTAGTGCAGTATCTCGTGTGCGGTTAAGTATAATCAGTACTTAAGAAGGTGGCTGTTTTCCAACAGTATTACCTTCTGGTATATTACCTTCTCACCATAAGCAAGAGACAGTATAAGTAGAAGACAGAAGTGGAATTGGAAACTAGTATGGAAAAGATATTTTCTTTCTGATACTGTTTTTAGTGGAGAAGAGTTAGATGTAAAAATGACACAGCCTAAGGCTGTGATGAAGGAAATACAACTTTCGAGGTATTACAGTCTCCTGTAGCAATACTTCTACACACCATCTAATTGGATTCTACTGGGTTTTTTTTTGTTGCAACAGGGAAACCAATGTGCTGAATAACAGCTTTGTTTTGTTTTCAGGATGATCTGCACAAAAGTCATAACTCTACGTCAGCCACAGACGGACTCTCTGCAACTTCATTTATAGAATATCCAAAGCACAAGCCATTTATTAATTCAGATTTGCTGCTCTCCCCACGGAAGCCAGTTATTCCATATCCTGAAAGCAACAGCAGAGGTAATAGATCAACAAGGTTATTTTCTTACCTGTTTCCAAATCACATGATGAAATGCTGCATGTCCACATCTACAAAGGTTGCAGTCTATTTGTCCTTTTATCATTGCCCGGTGATGTGCAGGTCACCTATTTTGTAGGTACTTTGCACTTCTCTTTTTGAAGAATGCCTAATGAAAGAGGTAATCTTACAGCTGGAGGAAGGTGCTCCTCTTCAATAGGAGAGAGCTGTGAAATGGACAGAGTATTTTATGAAATTGTCCTAACGTGTTTTCTTTGCCCCCTCTCCAGTCCTCCTCTCCCTCAGGCTTTCCTCTCCTGAGTTCATGGCTGAGTTTGAAATAAGGAAACTTTAATCCCCAGAATGGATTGAACCAAAAGAGGGGTTTTGGCCCTGTTGAAGTGGGAAGTTTTGTCATGGAGAAAGGGTGTGGCGAGAATATTTATCATTTCAGTAAAGGTTAAGCATAGCGCTGAACTGAGAGCTTGCAGCACCAAAAAGGGAGGTGATTTTACTCCCGTTTATCCTTGTTTCTAGGCTATTTCTTTTCCCTTCTTTCCCACTCTGGTCCTGGTGTTCATCTCCAGGTAAGCAGGTTTGTCTTGCCTGACCTGACATGAAAAGAAACATTCTTGGTTAGTTACTGTTATTTTAGTGGATTGGCTTGTCATGCAATGAGACGTACTCCAGAGCTGCCTTGGGGTGAGTGCAGTGGGCAGCACAGGGAGTTGATCCTTTGATGTGAGCTGTTTGGCTCAGGGTCACTACAAAAATACTCCTTTTAAGACTAGAGTTGCATGTAGTAGCATGAAAAACTTGATATTTTTTCCTCATAAGGAGAAAAGTGAGAAAGATTTAGGATTAATCCTAATATTGCTCGAGGTAAGTAAAAAATCAGTATGATAGGCTCAAGTCCCTGTTACAATAACATAATTCATGTCTGAATTATTACAGACTTCTACGTTAACAACCTAGAAGATGAAATCTCAATTTTTGAAATGCTTTTTAAAACACAGTGTATGCTCTCATGTGCTCAATGCCATCAGTTCTTAGAGTGCAGTTGACACAAAACTAAAGGAACCTTGTGATGGATAAAAAAAATGGATGTGCAGGAAAATCCCTTGTGAATTACTGATGCAGGCATCTTTTTATATATTGTGTTACCTGTGGCATTAGTGACAAACTTTTGACTTCCAAGTTTTAACTTGGCAACTTTTTTCAAGCAGGAAATCTGCTAATTCTGAAACAAGTGCGAGCGGAGGGAGGCAATCTGATAAATTATATCCCTTTCTAAAAGTTATGAAATGTCTTTATTTAAAAAAAAATAAGTAAATATGAATACATACTGAAAACTAAAACCAATGTGTAGATGACCTAATATTTTACTCTTTTTGCTTAGATTTTAAAAATGAAAAAATGTTCTGGAGTGTGTAATTCAGTAAGATTAAGGATATCGGAGTTAACTTTGGATGAGAAAGTAGATTGGATCGTTCCTGGGGATCCTTACTGCTCCTCCCACCCCCTAATTTCTTAAAAAAAAAAAAAGATATCTAAAAATCCTGAAATTGAATATAGTAAATTCTGCTTATTTTGGTTTGAATTTGTGTACATGTGTGCCTCAGCATACACATTTGGTTTTAATACTCTAATAAGAATGATGGAATGATACGAGGCATCTTGTTGCGTTTTATCTTTATTGGATCATTTCTTGAATTGCTTCATTCCTATATTTTGTTGGTCATTATTGTAAATATACAGAGATCTCAATTTAGCTCTAAGGATAACAGTAACAAAGCTGTTTATAGTTTCAGCTATGCCCATTTCAACTGAATCCTGGTAACAGTAACGTAACTAAAGAGAAGAGGGAACAGTTGGTGACTGATCCTGCAGACAGGGCCAGGCTATCTGTAACTTCTCCTTAACTGTGACTGCTGTCACCTCCTCCTTATTTACTTAACAGGTACACTAAAGCACATAGGTTTTTATTGATGTGGTGTTAGAATGTGCTATTCTGCACTTCAAAATTTGATGATTTTTTACTCTGGAAAACTCATCCTGATAATTATTTTTTAGTGCTTTTTTTTTGTAATCTGATGCTCAAACAAGTGTGCAGTCTCAGTTTTTCTGTGCTCATGCATTCGGTAATAAAGGTGGTGTATTCTTTCTTTCTAAAGTGGTTTTAATCACAAAGGAGTGGGTTAATGTGACCTCATAGATTAGTCCGCTATATGAGCGGTCTGTACAGATGTTCCTGTGTTTTACTCCAACAGGACTGTATAGGGGAAAGGCTTATGGTTCCCTTTGCAGAATTAAACAATGCAGCCAAGAGACGTAATACATCAGATTACCAGCAGATGGTCTAATTGCAAGGTGCTTTCTTTTTGTGGTGATGAATATATAAAGCTTTTGTTGAAGTAATTGTCAAAGCAGGGAATGGAATAGGAAGAGGAAAAGTTGTTCAGCTCAAAGGAGATGTATGTCTTGGGGGGAAGTAGGGGAACAAACAGAAGTATCAAAAAAGAGCTGCCACTTCAAAATAAACATTTTTATAGCCCATCTAGTAGCTAACCTTTATTCTGCTCTGCAACCATTACATTTTTGTGTAAACCATTCATGTTTGTGTATTTGTTGTGCTAGCATGCACCGGGAGAGGAATAATAATAAAGAGAACTGCCACTGTTTTAACTCTCTAGTTGTGATATTTCATTTTCCTTTGATAAAGTGTCAGAAGATGCACTGTTTGTACACATTCTATAGAATATTTACGTGCCTTGTTCTGGGAAATGGATGTGTCTTTCCCAAACATTTCAGATGAAAGCATGCACCAAGGGCATCTATTCTTTTGAGACTAGTTTTAGGATCAGTTATGGTTTCAAGAGAAGCGGGTCTTAATTCCTGGAAGGAGTCCTCAGTGCTGGTAAGGAACACTCTGACTTGCTTACATAACATGCTATTACCAAAATGTTTCAAGTTCAGTGTTATCTTGAAGTGGTGATATAATGGTATCTAACAAAAGGTATTTATTCAATTACAGCAATATTTTCTGCACTGAAGAATCTCCAGGAAAAAATTCATCGACTGGAGTTGGAACGGCTTCAGGCAGAGGAGAATGTAAAACACCTCAGCAGAGAAACAGCAGACTATAAAAAAGTACTGAGTGAACAAATGCAACACAAAGAGCATGACAAGACTGAAGTGTCAAGGAAAAATCAAGGTTGTTTGCAAATGTTATATAGATACTATAGAACACTGATGTGGATGAAACTTGAGTTTTATCAATGCATAAAACTCTTTTCACATAATTGTAGATAGTTCTGATTGGAAGGGACTTGTAAAGGTCATCTAATCCAACTCTCCCTGCCATGAGCAGGAACATCTTCAACTAGATCAGGTTCCTCAGACCCCCCTCCAGCCTGACCTTGAATGTTTCCAGGGATTGGGGCATCTCTCACCTCTCTGGGCAACCTGTGCCAGTGCTTCAGCACTCTGTGTAAACAGTTTCTTCCTTACATCTAGTCTAAATCTTCCCTCTTTCAGTTTAAAGCCAGTACCCCTTGGTCCTATCACAACAGACCCTGCTGAAAAATTTGTCCCCGTCTTTCCTGTAGGCCCACTTTAAGTATTAAAGGGCTGCAAAAAGGTCTCCCTGGAGCCTTCTCTTCTCCAGGCTGAACAACCCCAGCTCTCTCAGCCTGTCCATGAGCAGAGGTGCTCTGTTCCTCTGATCATTTTTTGGCCCTCTGATGGACCTGCTCCAACAGGTCCATGTCTTTTCTGTACTGAGAATTATTTTTTTAATTAATTAATTTAATTTACTTTGTTCAACATATTTTACTTTGCAGTGACACGTGGAGTTATGAGAAATAATTTTAAAAGTATTCTTTCTTCAGGGATTTGCATGCATACAGAAGATCATTAGGCTTAATCAGCGGCTTTCCTTAGATGGTCCTTTTCTTGTTTTGGAACTGTCCTGAAAACAACAACAACAAAATCCCAAAAGCAAGCAGTGCATGATTTCACTTTTTCTGCCTTTTGTTATCTTTAGAACTGGCTTCTCAATTGGCAGCTGCTGAGTCTCGGTGCAGCCTTTTAGAGAAGCAGCTGGACTACATGAGAAGAATGATCCAGCACGCAGAGGATGAGAAGTCGCATCTCTTGGAGAAACAGGTGTGTTCTCAAGATTATCTGAGAGTTAAATTATAAAAATGATGAACTATGTCCTGAGTTTTTGTAGTTGCTGTAATTTTAATATCTTTAAGTGTGGTTGTCTGTTTCAGTTGCCTTTATATACTTAGGGATGGATAATTTCCCTACTTAAATTTCCCAGTGTTATCTGGGCTGTGGTGTTTTCTGCCTTTGTGCACCTGTCTCTAAGGTAGTATCAGGCTCTGATATTAATAAGTATTACTTGCTTCTGTGTGATTTGCTTTTTTGCTTACTGCAGTAGCTCATCTTTATCCCTCAAGTGCTATATACCCATGTGCCACTGGGAAAAAGCCTCCCTTTCGTGTTTACACTCTTCAGGTCTTAAGGGATTTTCTTTACTAGTACTGCTTTTGCTAAACTGGGGCTGAAATACTGATTCTGTAGAAATAATAGTAAAATTTCTATTTCCCACCATCAGTGACTCTGGGGTTGAGCCTGTGTCTAAAATGACCTCGAATTTTGCTTTACTGGAGCACGGATCACCTAGAGCTCTGTTCATGGATCTTTGTTTCACTCTATTAGATATTAACTGGAGAAAAAAATTAAGAAAGCTATCTCTAATAGCTGAGTAATGAGAATTTCTACCACATTGTGTTCGGAAGGAGGAGAAAACTGCAGAATTCTCTCCCATCTGAATCTGGTTGAGTGTGAGGCTCCCAGTGTTGATGGGCCAGTGGCGCAGTTGCTCCCTAATCACAGCACCATTTTAAAATACCTGGAGGGAAGCAGTAGCTCCTTTGGGCTGTTTATGAGCCTCCTTTGTGCTGCAAAGGTTCACTATAGATGGTTCTGTTTTATTGTGCTTAAAATTGTTTTGCTTTTCACTTTTCCCTTCAAGGGTTCGTTGGAGAGAGATCGGCTGCTTGATCAATCACACGTTCAGTCTAAATTGGAAAAGCTGGATATGCTGGAGAAGGAGTACAGCAGGCTTACTGCGATGCAGTCCATAGCAGAGGTCTGTTATTTGTAGTGGATAATATATCAGATTTATCTTGTTTGTTTTAATAAGCATTTACAGCTATATGTCAATATACCAGAGTAAAACTTTGTGCTGTAAAACGTTGCAGTTATTGCTGAAAGTCTAAGTAGACTTTGTCACTGCACTTTGCTTAGCCTTAGCTCTATCTGTTGGTGTTCCTCTTTTGTGGTCAGTTGGTGCATAGGCATGTAGGACTGTGGGCTTTCCTAAGCTCCCAACTTCTGCCTTGCATGGTGCTGGATGCTAGCAGTAATATTCTGTTATGACCCAGATTTGACTTGATTTATGTGGATTTGTTTGTTGGTTTTTTTCTCCTACCACTTCTTAAGGAACATAATTACTAGTTATTTTACTTGCAGAGCTCTGGAGCCTGGCATTGCTTAGCCTCTAGCTCTGGCTGTTGGTGCGTGTGAATCAGTTTGCCTCTTCAGGATTCCTTTTGAATCGGTAGCTTTTACAAGTTCAACATGACCTTGTTTGGTCATGTTCTTTCTTTCTACCAGCTGTGGTGGTGGCTTCTGAAGTCTGGTCCACATACCTCTTTCTGCTGCTGTAGAGGGACCACAAGGCTCCAAGGATGGGAACTGCAGTGGGTTTAACCAGGGAGAGGCTTCCACCTGCAAAGTTCCTCCATCCAAAGGAGCCAGATGGTACATTGTGGTATTGAGGACAGCTCTGGACTCTAACAAAATTGTGGGCTTCCTACCTTGCACACCAGCCCTTACCAGGTGCTGCAGGAGATGCTGTTTGTCCAGGAGCACATAAGGAGATGTTTGATATTAAGTAGCTGATCTGCTGCAGGACCTTCAGACACTACAGCTATTCTTGGGAGTCCCTGACCCAAGGCAGCTGTAATGAGCTGTTTAAGATCCTCACACCCCGTTTGGGGTGCCTTTATGGAATAAAAGTACCTGTACTGTTTACCTGGGCCAAGTCCTTTGAAAGATACATGTCTCCTGGGCCTTGTTCATTGAAAGGAGTGCTAAGTTCCTCCAGGGTTGAAACAACTGGTTCAACAACAGGAATTCCTTTCTCAAGGGCTTTTAGCAAGTTTTTGACTCATAACAGCTGGTGTTTGGTGAGACTGGGTTGGGTTTTTTTGTGCCTGGCTAGTGAACATAACTTCAGCATAACAATTTAGTTTTGTTTGTTTTTTTTCCTGGATCCTTTGATTCTCTTTGATATCTTTAGGAATTAGTAGCTGTCACAAATCTATTTTAGTGGAATTGGGTGTTAAATTTACACAGTTTTGAATCAATTCTAGGAGCTGAGAGAAACATGGACTTAGCTCTGACTAAAGGTCGTTTTTCTTGTGACCGTTTTGCTGTCATGAGCTCTTTTCTGATGGACAGGTCTGTCTGTCCCCGTGCTTGCAGGCTCCCTTTGTACCCGAGCATCCACCTGCCAAGTGCTACCTTGTAATCCTGAAAGGATGACGGCACACTTGGCTCAAAACAGTTGCATCTGTTACCTCTTTGATCTCAGCTTTAGTTGTGGCAAGACTGTAGGAAGTTTAATTTAATTTAATTAATTAATTTAATTTAATTAAACTGTTAACACTTGGCTCAAAACAGTTGCATCTGTTACCTCTTTGATCTCAGCTTTAGTTGTGGCAAGACTGTAGGAAGATTTGCCAGTTTAATTTGAAGGAAGAAATAGATAAAAAAGAGTATTTCCATACATTGTGTGCTGAACTGGATGGAAAGTGGTGAGATGGCTACTCATGGGCGAGCAATGATTTAACTGGCTCTGATTTCAGATGCTCTGACATAGCACAAGTATTTAGGTATTGGATATCTTTGAGGGCTCAAAACTTTCTGTCTCTGGTTAAAGTTGTTTGAAATTTATTTCAATGGCAACCAGATAGATGGGTAAGGTGATCACATGAAACTTCATTGATTTTAGCAAAGAGGCAAAAATAGATGTTGAAATACTTAATTTTCTGTGTTTGCTGTTAGCTGGCCCTCTGGCCTCAGTCCCCAGTAACCTGACTGCCTGAGGGAGAGCTGAGTTCAGGAGACAAATCGAGTGATAGCTGTTTCTATAAGCAAGAAAAAAACCCCAAAACCTTTCTTTTGGGAATATAACATGGCTAGATAACTTCCGACAGGGTCTGACGCTCTTGCTGTGCAGTTTAAAGTGCAGCTGAACCCCTGGCTGAGTAAATACTCAGTTCATTTTGGTACAAAAGCATTGGCCCAGCTTCGCATCAGTCTTCTGTTCAACAGAAAAATTGCTTCAGGATTTCCATATTAAACATTCTTTCATAAGTAACAGGTGAAGCAAAGATCTTTGTGCGACTGACCACGTGGAAATCAAGAATTGTGCCACATGCTGTAAAGGGTGAAAGATGATTTTTAAGTTACCTGGAATTACTGATTTGAATAGGGGGAAAAAAAAATAGACAAGAGTTCTTTTGTTCAACAGAAAAAAAATGGGTTCCTTTATATATAGTGCCTTTGTCCTCAATATTTATCCAGTGTTTGCCTTTTAACACCTTGGTGTAACAGCTGGTTACATTAATCTTGCTGTTAATGCTTAGGTAAAGCAGAGTTTAAATATTTAGACCCTCTTTGAGTTTTAGTTTATTAAAAAATACATATATACACACACGTACACAAATATAGGTGTTCCTGTGGATTGCATGCTTTTTTGACTTAAGTTTAATTAGTGGCTCTGTGAATAATGCTTAGTCTTTGGGGGGGGGGGGGGGGAAAGAAAGGAAGTTGTTTTGTGTCCTGGAGCACTGGATCTTTTTTTTTTTTAACTCTGCTGTATAAAATCAGAAAGCTATTTAATAGCTTTCACATTGGGAGTTTAAGTGTATCCTGCTTTAAAAAAGTTTCATCTTGTTGGCGAGTTTACAGGGAAATGTGTGCCTTTCTCCTTAACTCTTCTCATGGAAAGGGGCTTTCAAAAGACTTCTCACATGTTTTTAGCCATAAAAAGGTGAAATTGCTTCAGTTTTACTTAAAGATATCTCAGAAGCATCCTACAAACTTCCCTCCTCTGTTAATAAGTTGGTTACATGTTCAAAAACTCTTATCTTTTAAAAAAGTTTAAGTTATGGAAATTTAGTGGTCTAAATAAAACAAGTCTCTCAGCTTATAATGATCCCTGATATACCTTTGTTAGCCTTTCTGTTGTACAAAATCCAGGATGATGTACACAAACCCGTCTACTTTCTAGGCTGTTTTTACAACTGAAGAGAAAGACAGCCTTGCCTGTTACTCTCCCCATAGGCTGCAACTTTACTTCTGCAATTGGTATCTGAATTTAAATACAAAAATCAGTTAATTTTTAAGCTTAAGCACTTGACTGCTGTATTTATACTTTGACTGCGGTATTTATGCTTATACAGACAGAACTTCAGCAATCATTCGAATGCTGAAGTCTTCACTTGTCTATCAGTTCAACTTACAACTTAAAGCTTTTTGCTCAAGCTCTTAGTATTGTAGGCTTCAGGAAAAAAACATTGTTTCACTAGTAATGCTATTATTTTTATTCAACTTGGACTAGAAAAAAATGAAAGAGCTGGAACAGAAGCTTCAGGAGGAAGAACACGCGAGGAAGCTTGTTCAGGAAAAAGCAGCTGAGGTAACCAACAGGAAATTTCTTTTGTACTGGTATGCACTGTAATTAGCTCTTCCTTTCCATCAACCTTTCAACTAAACTTGCTGAAAGTGTATTAAAAAAAAAATTAAAATCTTGGTTTAGTCTTCCTGCCCCTTCCCTCCTCTCTGAGAGGGATGTTTTGAAGTTCTCTGAGCTTTTTGGAAACCTTTTTCTAATGGCTCCTGTGCACCGAAGTTTGATTTCTTAAATAAAAGAAGCCAGTTGGAAAAGAGGAGTAGAAATTCACACTAATTTGTAGGTGAAGGTCCATGAGGATCTCTGCTTTAAATAGATCAAGGTCAACAAGCGTGTTCCCTTGTTCATAATTGTAACTAGAAATATTGTATGAGTCAAAAAAGAGGCAACGTACTATTGGTTATGAGCCCATAAAGACACTGGTCTTCTAACCTTGAGGTGTTGTGCTCATTAAATATTCATTGTATGATGAAGAAGTAGATAGGTAGTGTGTTAGGCTCTAGCATTAACCTTTGCCATGAGTTTGAGGGGGGTGAAAAGGATGTCTCGAATTAATTGTGAATTAATCAGTGAATGCTTCTAGTTGAGATGGGTTAGGAGGTGGTTACTAAAGCTATGCCATGGCTTCCTCTTGGAGGGGACAGCAAAGTGTGTAGAGCTCACTGACAGTGAGAGTCCTAACCTTAACTCTTCCAATAGATGGTTGGGTTTGAGGTTTTTTTTTGCTGTCAAATCTTATAGAACAGAAGGAATAATTGTCTGTTAATTGTCTGCACCAGATGAACTGAGCAGGGTTGGGTGGCTTGAATTCCTTGATATCTTGTTGAGCATAAAGCACAGCTGATGTTTTGGCACTTTCCTGCCTGGGTAATGCAGTAAGAGTAATTCTCTAGCTTACTAGGATTAGTGATGAGTAGTGCTGCCAAAGGAAGTATTCTTATTTAATGTTTAAATCGACCTTAGACTGCAGAAGCATCCTAAAGTCTTGAAGCCCTTGCTTTTAGAGAGTATTTGAAAAATTGTTGTTTTGCAAATCTCAGCTTACTCTGACTAACTATTAATACAATTCCGGTAACTTCCCTTATTTCTTCAATTAAAGCTTCAGACAGGCCTAGAAACCAACAGGCTACTGATTCAAGCAGCATCACCATTGCTTTCTCCAAAAGCAAGAAAACCCAGGAAGAAAACGAAGCAGCCAGAGAAGGTAACATGGGGGCAAAGAGAAGGGCAATTACTGAGGAGTACAATCAGGGTGCGTGCATGCAAACGGGGAGGTGGGCTGCCTCTCTTATTACAAAGCAAAAGGAAAATGGGATTGCTGCAGTGTCATCTTCTTAAACATTTCTCTCTTCTTTCCTTCCAGAAACACTCCCACACGAGCCATCTCGCTGCGCAGCCCCATTACAGACTGTGTCTGGGGGATGTACCCTTTGTAGCTGGGAAGGTGAGCTGCTTGATTCCAAAGCTTAACACTCAGTAGCTGCAGCTCCTTCAGTGGCTGTGGCTCGGGGTGCTCCTGACACCCAGTGGTTGGATCACTTCATTCTCTTTGACTCTTTTTTTTCTTTCAGTTTGTCTTCAAAAGGCTTGTTGAACAGTCATAATTTGCTGAACTGGCGTTTCCAAAACAGGGCCCTCTCTTGCTGCTTGTCAGGCTGTTCTTGTTAGTGCATACTCAAACAAAAAATACATTGCTGACAGCAAATCAAATGCTATTGTTTTTAAATGTTCCCCATTATTAAGTTGTTGACAATGCCATTTTAAAGAAGTCTCTTTTACTTTCCAGTCGACCAGTCCCAGCCATTCGGTCGGTGCCAACGTGCAACACGTCCTACACCTGATGAAGCAGCACACGAAAGCTTTGTGTAACAGCCGTGTGGTAAATGACACTCCACTGGCAAAATCCATCAGCACCGGTCATCCTGCCAGCAAAAGCAGAAAGTCATCTCTGCCAAAGGACTCCTCTTCATCCCAGGAAGAGCTCTCAGAAGTGTTGCTGACTTTACAAGATGAATTTGGACAGATGAGTTTGTGAGTTTGGCATGTTCTCCGTTGCAGATCGTGAATGTAGATGCTTTGTATTTTTGCCTTTTGCTTTAGAGTTGGAAGGTTTTGCCTGAGAAAGGAAGTCTCTAGCATATGATCTCTAAAACAAACTTCTCTGTTCGATGGGCTGCAGAGGCTGTCATTTCTTCTGACACAGTTAAAGAGAGAATCTGATTGAAAGCCTGGACTCCTTACCTGCGTTTATATGCAGCAGTATTGAATTTGTGTGGGGAAGGGGAGGGGGGTGATAACAGCCCCTGATGTAATGAACAAATGCTCCATTAAGGCACATCTTTAGAAGTCAATTTGGTTGTCTGGGTTAAGAGAACATTAATGTTATCCTAATGCACAACTGCAGTAGATAGATGCAAAACAGTAACTGAGGGAGTGCTGAGATCATGTCCTCAGGGGATTATTTGGTTGGTTTGAGTGTGTGTATTGAAGTTGGAAGCTACTTAGCTTATTGAACCTTAGTGTTGCAGCAGCCTGCCACCAGGATGTGCTGCTGTCATAATGCTGCTGACCAGCAAAACTGCTCTTACTGGTTCATTGTGGCACGTGGAACATGTCTGGCTGCTGATGCTCTGCTTTCCCAGAAGTGTTATTTCTGAACTGGGTGTATGAGCACTGGGAGCCAAGGGAGTCTGATGCAAGCTTTGTTCTGTCTGAATTCCCTGCTAGTGATCACCAGCAGCTGGCAAAGCTTGTCCAGGAAGCCCCAACCATTGCTGTGAGGGAGGATCTGGAGAGGGAGCTTGAGGTGCTGGTGGGGAAGATGGAAGCAAAGGCAGACCAGATCAGCAAAGTCCGGAGGCATCGGTTGCAGGTGAGCTACTTCTGATTACGTTCATGCTTCTGTAGAGTTTCTGTCTTAAGGGGTTTTGACGTAATATCCTAATTTAGCAGCAATTGAGTAAAGCAGAAGTAACTCCTGCAGAGCAGTAGTGCCTGGCTTTAGCTTTGATGTCCCAAAGTTTGCACACCTCCATCCTTCTATCCCATCATTTCTGCAGGAGTATCCTTTGTGTCTTACCGTGTGTCACCCTTGTGCCTACTCTTCATCCTGTCCCGGGCAGGCCTTTCCCATCTGTTCTTGCATTGCCCTTTATGCTCCTCATCCCCAAAACAGGGAAAAGATTGTTTGCTTGTGATAGCAAATCCCACAGCTGTTGAATTCTGCAAACGGCATCAGCTGGTGGGGCAATACACAAGCTGAGAAACAGCATTTGGGGCTGGAAGGTGTGAGTCTACTTCTGGGCCCCCAGCACTCTGTCTGGGAAACACTCCTGGTTGGATATCACAGAATCATAGAGTGGTTTGGGTTGGAAGGGACCATAAAGGTCATCTAGTTCCACCCACCCTGCCATGGGCAGGGACACCTCCTACTAGAGCAGGTTGCTCAAAGCCCCATCCATCCCTGGAGGTGTTCAAGGCCAGGCTGGGGCATCCACAGCTTCCTTGGGCAACCTGTTCCAGTGCCTCACCCTCCTCACAGTAAAGAATTTCTTCCTGATATCTCATCTAAATCTACCCTCTTTTAATTAAAACCATTACCACTCATCCTAGCGCTATGCTCCCTGATAAAGAGTCCCTCCCCATCTCTCCTGTAGGCCCCCTTTAGGTACTAGAGGGGGCTACAGGATCTCCCTGGAGCCTTCTCTTCTCCAGGCTGAACAACCCTCAGCCTGTCTTCATGGAGAGGTGCTCCATCTCTGATCATTTTCGTGGCCCTCCTCTGGGCTCGCTCCAACAGGTCCATGTCCTTTTTATGTAGCAGTTCCCAGCAGTAATGATTCTGCTGTAGGCTGCTGACGAGCTACTGACACAACCTTTAGGAGTTTAGAAAAACTTGTTCCCTGGTTGTTGGGGTTTGTTTTGTTTTTTAATGACTAGATGGTAGCAGTGACAAAATCTTCTTGTTGTGTATAACTTTTTCTGTTATGTTTATGATGGAGACCTTCCTCTGTCATCATCTTGTCGGTTTTAAAAAGACAACCTGGTAGCTCAGACTGTAAGCAGAACATGGGAATATAGCAATGCTGTGTAAGGAAAATAAAATATTTATTATTCAGGGTGACTTGGGAGCATCCATTTGCTTAATTGGGTGAGATGAGTGGTGGGATATTTTAGCTGTCTGGAAGAATTGCAGACCATAAACTGAAACAAGGTCACTGCTTAATCTTTTTCTTGGGGCTTCTCTTTCAGCTGGAGAGACTGAAAAGAGAATGCAAGGCCAAAAAGGCCTCTGCCAAACAAACAAAAGACAGCAGGTTCCCTGTGAGTGAGGTCAAAGTAACCACTACAGTAACCACAAAAGGGAAGAACGCTGGTCCCATCAAGGTGAAACCCGGAGAGAAGAGTCGGAAGAACCTTCAGTTGTTGAGGGACATGCAGACCATCCAGACTTCGCTACAGAAAGACGATGTCAGCTGGGACTACTGACTCCTGCAGGAGATGTTCTCCAGCCACCCCCGTCACACTTCCCCACATCCCGGATACGAAGCAGCTGCCTTTCTTGCTGTGTGAGAGAGACCACTGGATGCCAAGTGCACTTTTGAAATATGGGCCCTCAACTCTCCACCCCTGGCTTTGACTGTATATATTATGGTCTAGCTTCAAACACATTCCATTTTGAAGGTACGCAGCCACCAAATCTGAGCATAGGTCTCCACCCGTTCCTTCCGTGTTGTGGTTCCAGCAGTCCCTCCACTTCCCTTCAGCGCACCAAGAGCTGCACGTCCATGTGGGTTGGTGTGTGTGAAACACCAGTGGGATGTCACGCTGCTGTTGGACTCTGGGAGGTTCCTCAAGATGTGTCTTGTTTGAAAACGATGCTGTGACCCAAGTCTGAGGGGCTGTTGCCAGCTCTGTTCTGGGAGCAGCTGCAGTCACTCAGGTCCCGAGTGTGTCTGAGGGAGAACAGGCAAACCCGGTGGAAGGCATTTTTTGTAGGTGTTCTCTCCTCAGAAAGCTTTCCTAGTTCTTGTCCTGCTGCATTGCATTAGTCGGCGTTAATGGCAATGGATGCTTCAGTACTCAAAAAAGGAGAAAAATAACTTCTCCGAATTATTTTGCTTAACGATTGATTGAATTCAAGTCTGAATAGTGTAATTTTTCTACAGCAATTGTACTTCATGAAGAAGCTCTAGAAGGGGGTGATTACCCCATCTCCGTGTCCGCAGGTTTGGGTGGTAAAGGAGGGAGATAAACCACAAGTGTTTTAAATTTGCAAGTGCCTCAATCATGCCATTGAGTCCTGGCATCTTGCTTTTAACTTTAAATACGTGCTTTGCTGAGCTATCTACTCTGGTAGTGGTGCAGTTCATTTTGCACTCTGACTTGCACAGCTGAGTAAATGTTATTTATTATGTTAATAATGTAAAGAATTTCCTATTAATGGAATGTATAGAAGACCCAGATTACCCCTTTATACAGCTGAGAAATAATAAAGCCAGCTTGCCTGTTGAGTTGTGGGAAAGCTGCACTTCCTCTAACTCCGTGTTTTGCACTGAGCCCCATCCAGTGGTTCTTTTTTTTTGGTGATGGGACATTCCCCCTGGTCAGGGAGATGAGCAGAGCTGCTAGCAAGCTGCAGGTAAGGGAGGGACAGGGTTGTCCACCCTTCCCTGTAGCTAATGGGCAGGGAACTGTAGGGCCAGCACAGGCAGAAGGGATTTCAGTTAGCAGGGTGGGTCACCTACAGGTTCCTTCCAAGGCACGGAAGGCTGTAGCTGTGAGGGGAGAAGGCAGGAGCTGCTGACCAGGCCTGGAGCCACCCCCTTCACTCATTCACGTGAGGGACAGGGCTCTGTGTAGCTGGAGTAGCCTCTTGGGAGAGCATTAGTCCTGGGGGTGCCTGGTTCAGCAGCAGCTGAAACCTCACTCAGTAGTTCCACTTGAGAAGGGCCCCCAGGGCCCAGCCTGCTCAGGTGGGCTGAGGTCAGGGCTCCTTCAGGCTGATGCAGAGGAGCTGAAGATGCAGCTCCTCGATGCTGGAGGCTTAGGACTACTGTCAGCTCCGTACGTGCTGCATGCACTGCCTGAGGTGTCCAAGCTGGAATAACACCTAATAGGGGTGAGAGCATCCCAAATAATGTGTGAATCTGGGCTTAATGGGAGTTACACACAAATATATGAATATTCCTTTTACAGAGAAGCTACTGTGATAATGCTCTGGTGAGTGCAGGAATTATTTGTGGTGGTTTTTTTTTTTACCATGAAAGTATTTTGTAATATCGAGCAGCTAAACATTGCATCTGTGTTAATACTGGTCGGTGCAGGATAAGAGAAACGTGTCCAGAGATGAATTATTTTTTTCCTGTCATGCTAAATTTCAGAGTTTGAACATCAGCATCTTGGGAAGACCGTCTGTATAAGAACGAGAGAGATTTAGATTCAACATTCTACATCTTCAGTGCTATTTTATAAACGTTTGCACCACTTAGTTGAAAATAAGAGCACAGGGAGAACTTTACCCATTTATCAATTTTTATTAGTGTTAAGGAAACCAAACAGCCTTCATCAAGGAACAAAATATACACACATAGTCACTTTGCTAATAGAGAATAATACTATGAACCATCTTCTATAGTGATTGTATGTAAGGGCAGAGCTGCCCTTTCACCTTAAAGCACACCCCAGTCCTTCAGAAGGGATTTTGGGGGGGTTCTTCGTGCTACTGAACCATCAGCCCCCTCCAGCAAACGCAGTGATGCTGTATGGCCTGTCAGAGGGTGGCTATGGGTTCTGGGGTAGGTGCTGACACTGATGGCAGGGGACTGCAGGCAGAAATGGAGACTGCAGGGGATCCTTATCGTTACTGCCTCAGAGCAATGTGGCTTTTGACAGGCAATTCCTTGAGTGTAAATTGTCCCTTCTTGTACCCTCTCAGAAAACCCTTCTGTCCCGTGGAAGGGAGGCAGGGTGAAGCAGCAGCAGGCTGGTGGGTGGGTCAGAGAGGTGACCACAGTACGGGATCCTGTCATTAAAGAGCAACACAGGATCCTGGACCAAGCACTGTCCCTCTTCCTTAGCGTGGGGATGAGAAGCAGCCTGGAGTAACGATCTTTGCACACACGTAACTGCGCTGCAAGCCTGGTCTAACACAGCCTCATACTTATCTGCTTGGAAGAGCCACGGGGCAGTCCTGGTGTTACCAAGGGTGTGTTTTATCTCCACTTCTGCAGTAGGATTTTACATTAAAATTGTATATGACTGAAGTTGAGTCAGGTGACACTAATTCTTGAAGCATGCTCTGAGGAAAAAGACCTAACCGTAGGGCTCAGGAACTGGCTAAGCTCTTTGTTCTACCAGAATAACCTTAAGGAGCAGTTGCAGTGGATGCAGAAAGGCTTCTTTGGTTGATACGCAGTCTCTTCCATCGGTTACCAGAACTGGAACACCTGAAGTGCCCCACTGGGATCCTGCACAGAAGCAGTAGAATCGCTGGTCGTGCTTACCCGAGCTGCATGAAATGGCTGGTCAGGGCAGGTCCCAGGTGCCCCCCGGAGCTGCCCTGCCTGCCCCTGCTGAGCGTGAGGCACTGGAGGCCAGAGGAGCTGCAGAGAGCCCCAGGGGGAGCCCTGCTCTGCTTCTCCCCCCCCCAGCAATGAAGGTGCTGGAGCTGTGTCCTGGCACACCCCATGAAAACCATGAGGGAGACTCTAAAGTGGCAGATCCAGAAGTAAACTTTGTCCTACACAGTTAAGTCACGGAGGTTGTTCCTCTACTACCGTGTCTTGTTGGTAGAAGCTGCCCTTTCTTGGGATAAGGCATCGTTGACATGGCTTCCTATGCTCTAGAGCAACGTGAAGGGAAAAGTTCTGAGAAAAGGGTGATATGTGTCAGATTCTATTGGGGCTTGTCTCCCAGTAGGTTGACAAGCTCCCATTAACACTGCTCCCTGACATCAATAGCGGAGGGTTTCGTGACTCAACAGCTGAGTTACAGGCTCTGATACAAAGTCAGATCTGATTCTTCCTTCTAGCAAAGGGCAGATTCTTCAAACTTCTGAGCAGATGTTTTTCCTCCACAGTACTTCACTCTAGTGCACAGGCTCTCCTTAAAGCCAAGTGATTCCCAGCACGTAAGTGAAGAAAGAAAGAGCTCTGGGTTTCTTTTAGGTGGCAAGTGCAATTAGCTTGTATTACAATCTAGCCACTCAGAAGGTTAATTGCATAGGGGGGGGCGCCTTTGTTTTTGCTTAAGCTTCCTCTAGTGCTACAGTACTAATAAATTACCCTGGAAGAGAAATAAATAAATAGATTGGCATCTCCCAGACACCAGGCTGGAAATTCAGAGGGTTTCAGCAAAAGCTGCCCCCCCGTGGTCCTGGGGAAGGTGCTGGGTAAAGAGTCTGTGTTACACGACGGTCTGCACGGGGGCCACGCACTGCGCGGGGGAGCCGGCCCGCTCCGAGGACGAGGTGGAGCGGTTGGTGATCTCCCTCTGCAGTTCCTCCACCTTCTTCTGCAGCTCAGCCCGCTTGGCAAGAAGCTCCTTGTAGCGATTGTGGACAGGTTCCTGCAAGGAAAGGTGCAGCTGCTGAGTGCTGGGAGGTGTGAGCACGGGAGAGGAAGCCTGAACCACAAAGTGTTGGCACTGACCTGGCACCAGCCCTGTCAAGGGAAGGTATAAGGGAAGGAGAGGGGTGAGGAGGGGAACGGTGCTGGCCTTGGCAGCTCAGCCTGGACAGAATTTCAGAGCTTTGGGGGGAAAGCAAAAACCAACACAGATTTATCTAAATATTTTCACATGGTTCTGTTAAATAGTTAACACAGGGAAGCTGGGTTCCTGTATCTAATGCCCCAGATTTTCAAAGCTCTGTTAACTGCAGTCGGACACTAAGGCATCCCCAAATTTATATCCCTTCCTATTAAAAGGTGATGTCAGTGTTTAGGGCTGTGCTCAGGCTCTTGTCATGGGTGCCCGCCCCAGGGAAGCTGCTGGGGTTCAAGAGGTGCCCAAGGGCTGCAGTCAGAGCCCTGTGCCTCAGGTGGCCAAAGCAAGAGAAGGTTCCTACTACCAGTCACCTAAATACAGCCCCCAAACTCCCATCTAGAACCCCACAGCCAAGGAAATCTCAGGTTTTTAGGCTCTTTTGTAAAAAGAAGAGAGAGTTCAGATGATTTTTCCCTATATTCAAAGTGAGAAATTTTCCAAAGAGCTGAGGATATCCCACTCCTGCAGATTTCACGAGGCCCTGACCTCCAGCTGAGCGCCAGCACCAGCTGTAGGTGCTGCTCTTTCATTGGCTTGCAATTGAACTGGTGAGGCCACACCTGGAGTATTGTGTCCAGTTCTGGGCACCTCAATACAAGAGAGATATCGAGGTGCTGGAGCGAGTGCAGAGGAGGGCAACGAAACTAGTGAAGGGCCTGGAAGACAAATCGTATGAAGAGCGGCTGAGGGAGTTGGGACTGTTTAGTATGAGGAAGAGGAGGTTGAGGGGAGACCTCATGACTCTCTACAACTACTTAAAAGGACACTGTAGAGAGGTTGGTGCTGGTCTCTTCTCGCAGGTAATTAGTGACAGAACGAGAGGGAACGGCTTCAAGCTCCAACAGGGTAGGTTTAGATTGAACATTAGGAAAGAATTTTTCACCGAAAGAGTGATAGGGCATTGGAACAGGCTGCCCATGGAGGTGGTTGAGTCACCATCCCTGGATGTGTTTAAGGGACGTTTAGATGCAGTGCTAAGGGACATGGTGTAGGGGAGGACTTTGTAGAGTAGGGGAGATGGTTGGACTCGATGATCCCAAGGGTCTCTTCCAACCTAGACGATTCTATGAAATACTGAAACTAAGTCTTTCTATGAATTTAGGCTTCTCCTTTTAGATGGAAGCAGTGGCAGGGAGATGCGTACCTTTACTTCTTGTGCTTCAAATGTCTGAAGCCCCAGACCGACAGTGCCGGAATTACCAGGGAGAGGAAATAAAAAAGCAGGATGCTTGGAAGAGAGGTACCTGCGGTTTCATCCTGGGGTTCCAGCGGATGTAGTAGCCCACCCAGAGCTCGAGGTGGCGCATGCTGGCCACCGGATAGAGGACGTGGTTGGAGTAGCTCACGTACAAGGGGTTGGTGAAGTCTTCCAGTTGGCTGTTGATGTAAGACCAAAGCGACACGGTCTTTTTTGGAAGGCTCTGCAAGGGAAGGGGGCGGAGGAGGCTTTATTTCCCGTACGGATCCACAGCATTTATCTACAAAGTATTTACACCAGCACCTACGTGTGCCTGTCGGTAACGCAGAGCTGGCTGCCCTGCTGTCACTGAAAAAGAATAATCCCTCCTTTTGATGTGGTTACTGTAATTAAAGCAGGTGGAGGCAGGGGGGCACACACACACACCCCCCCCCGGCACGGACACGGCCCCTCTCACCCCCCCAGGGTGCCAGCACGGACCAGGAACCGCCATCGGCACCACCAGGGGACAGGGGCTGGGGAGCTCTCAGCGCTTTGGTTAAACTTCACCTCTTGTAAAGTGCTCCCCGAGGACTCGCTGGAATATTTAATTGCAAAGAAAAAAAGAAAACATTTGACTTGGGCCCTGATCTAGTGGAATAATTAGGGCTGTGAATAGTCCCAGTGAAACCAGCGTTGAAGTGTTTTCTAGATTAAGTACTTCACTCGGCTGAGGCCTTAAAAGAAGCCCCAAGCAGGCAGGTTCTCTTCCTGGAAATTACAATTATTCAACCACTGTGGACTCTAGAGAAAGAGGGGCTCTAATTTCACTACAAGGCTATCACCCCTCTATTACAGTAATTTATTTATTTTTTTAATTGATGTGCTATCAAATATGATCCCACCAGGTCCACACAGCAGCATCCTGTGAGGTCAGGCTGCAACATTTTAGTGATGAAATGCTCCATCTTTAGGCAGGTGAGCCAGGGTGAGTGCCACTGCTTTTCCTTCTGACCCCAGGGCCTGAAGAGGGTGGTGTTTGAATGTACATGTCTATACGTTCCTCCCTCAGCAAACAGACCTCGACCAGACTGCAGGGCAGGAGCTGGCTGGTGGCAGGACCCAGAGCCATGTCCTCTGCAACCCCAGCAGCTCTGTCCTCTCCTGGGAAAACGCAAGCACAGCAAGAACCCCCACCCAGAGCAGGTACTTGCTGTAACCTGTGTGTGCACAATGACAACACATGCTTGGTCGTTAAAATAAACCCCATGGGACCACTCCAAGGGAAAGGGAGGGCTAAAAGGTAACAGTTTCTACAGAGAAGGGTTACATTAAACTGGATTTCAAAACAAAACTGCGTTTCCAACTACCTGGGAGACAGCAGGAGCTATTCAGCCACCAGCGAGGAGCTGAAAGCCGAGCTGAAAGCAGTGGGACTGCCCGGAGGGGAAGGGTATCGCTCTGAGAGTCTCCACCAGGCACCAGTTTAAGCTGTTGGAAAGGGGGACCTGCATCTACCCCTGCCTGAGCCCTGAAGCGGTGTCTCTGGCAGTGTCTGGCAGCTAAAGCCACCCCAGTGCCGTGCCCCCGCCTTGGAGGGGAGCTGTCTCACCTCCTTCACCCTCTGCTGCTCGCTGCTGCACAGGAAGGTCCCGAAGAGGCAGCTGTACAGGTGGTCCAGGATGGTTATCAGGAAGTACTCGTTGAACTCGAACGCTGTAGGGAACTTCAGACAGAACCAGAAAACTCAGTTGGGATTTTTAGAACAGGAATCCCAAATAATAAACCTTCTCCCACTCTGTGGTCTTAGTAAGGAGTTGGCCTCTCTTCTTGATTTCTAAAACAGGATTTGTCCCTGTTCCCTGCCTGGCTGGATATTTGGGATCATATTTGCTCCTTCCCGAAGTAAGAGTTTCTCTCTTGGAAAGCTGCTTTACATGTGCAGAGAGGAATTTTGAGCAAAAGCCAGAGGTCTGAAGGGTTTGACTGCTGTGTTTATCCACACTCAGCGCTGCTGCAAGTTGAAGCTTGCTCTGCTACGCCTGCCCCTCACGACAGACCCTGCAACACAACTGTGAGCAGAGGCTGAAGCACACATGAAATAATGCCTAAAAAGAAATGGAAATTTCCCAGGGCCAAATGGAAATAACCTGTTTGTGCAACGCAGCACTTCCCAGTGGGAACAGCAGGGAGGCATCTTGCAACACGGGACAGCGGGAGGAACGTGTGGATGGGCAGGGGCTGTGTTGGCTGTGGACGTTCCCTGCAGAAACAATCAGGCCCAAGACAGGGAGAACTGAAGTTCCACAAAGGGTCAGTAAGAATTCACACAGTGAACTGCAAAAACAGGCTGGGGTGATGGAGAGGAGAGCGAGAGGCCTTCCTCCCTCACAAACAGCTTTCCAGTATCTGAAGGGCGCCTACAAGAAAGCTGGAGAGGGACTTTATACAAGTAGTGATAGGACAAGGGGTCATAGCTTCAAACTGGAAGAGGGGAGATTTAGATGAGATATTAGGAAGAATTTTTTCCCTGTGAGGATGGTGAGACACTGGAACAGGCTGGCCATGGAAGCTGTGGGTGCCCCATCCCTGGAAATGTTCAAGGCCAGGCTGGATGGGGCTTTGAGCGACCTGGTCTGGTGGGAGGTGTCCCTGCCCATGGCAGGGGGGTTGGAACTCAATGATCTGTAAGGTCCCTTCCAACTCTAACATTCTATGATGAAACCACCCTTTGCTTCCCAGCTGACCCTTGCCTTCCTGTGCCCCTGTACCTGCAGGCTCTTTGCTAACACCCTCCCAAAAAACTTGTTGCCAGAGTCAGAACAAGAGCAGAAGCCCAGGAAGGTGAACCTCTGCAGATCACCCTGGAAATGACTCCTGTGGCCAGACACCGTGCCAGGCTTTGGTACAGCAGCTTTGTGCACACGTGTGCCTCCCGGCAACTTACCTGTCTTGTCATTTGCCAAACACAGTCGATGAACTGGAGGAAGACAGGAGAGCGATCTGCATCTGCGTGATTCTTATCTCCGTGGCCAACTCTCTGAAACCGAGCAGGACAAAGGACATGAGTCACACGGGGTTCATGGGGAAACTGCTGGGGCCTCCTCTCTGTCACCCAAGCCTTCACCAAGAGCTACCAGAAGATTTGGTTAGTCCCTAACAGTGGGTAAAGGAGTAAAGAACAGCTACTCCTTTTGTCTTTGAAGTGGAATTTCTTTATGGGGATATTTTCATGCTAAATTAAAACAAAAGTTGTTTGAGTAGAGGCTCCAGATGCTGTGCTGGCACGGATTTCAGTTAATAGCTACAGTTCAGAAGGAAAAAAAAAAAAAAAAGAGAATGCTTTTTGCTTCAGTTGCAGCTGTCGTCCTGGCTACTGCAGTAGTACAGTGTGTGAGACCTCACCACTACCTCCAGGCACGGCCGGTGGCGATGCCCGTCACGCAACACCTCGCAGCTTCCAAGCCCTGTACAAACACTGACCCAGCCCATCTCCTGCCACCTCAAGGGAGCAGTGATGAAAGCATCCCCAGAAATAGTCCTCCAACCCTGACTGTGCTGTGTGGCCGAGACATGCGAGACCTGATTCCTTACAATGAGTACAGTGCGATAGTGGCTGTGTGTTACCCAGGACTGGATCACAGAATCATAGAATCATTGAGGTTGGAAGAGACCCTTGGGATCATCGAGTCCAACCATCTACCCTACTCTACAAAGTCCTCCCCTACACCATATCCCTCAGTACCGCATCTAAACGTCCCTTCAACACATCCAGGGACGGTGACTCAACCACCTCCCTGGGCAGCCTGTTCCAATGCCCGACCACTCTCTCTGTGAAAAATTCCTTCCTAATGTTGAGTCTAAACCTACCCTGTTGGAGCTTGAGGGACTGTTTAGTATGAGGAAGAGGAGGCTCAGGGGAGACCTCATCACTCTCTACAACTACATGAAAGGACTGGATGTATAGATATTATCCTGTGTACCGTACAAAGACAGAACAAGAACATGTAAGTGACTGATCTCTACTTCTTCTGTAATACTCTTCTCCCCTCACCAAAGGAAATCAATATAATTATCTTATTTGTATAGACAAGGAAGCTAAAATACTCACTGTTCAAACACCAGGTAACAGTTTTGCTGCAGCAGAACCTCAGCTGCTCAGTACCTCAGTTTCCTCACCTTCCTCAGTGTTTGACTGTGCAACCCACCATCACATGTGCTGGAAAGAGACCTTTCTCTAGCCCTTGCCAAAATTAAATGACCACAAGAGAACACAAACTGTGAGCAAAACACAATAGGAACAGAGACCTAAAAGATACCACTGAAAGGAGCTCTCAATCCCCATCAGCACAAACCATAACAAACTGCTGTGTCACCAGTCCACAACGCTGCCTCCCGGCCAACTCCAGGGACACAACCATGGGCTACTCTTGGGCCAGTCTCAAACTGATAGATCTTTTACCTAAACAATTAAAAAGGCTCCCCAAAAATAAAGAAAATGTGAGGTGAAGGCCACAACCAAATTCCCCAGCCTTTTCAGTACCAAGGCATTTTTCACATGACAGGGTCCAAGCTGCTTTCAGAAAATGGACTGAACTGGAAAGAAAGACAAAAAACACCCCAGTGGTCTCTGCCAGCTCCCAGCAGAAATGCCCGTCCTCAACCCAAGGCACACTGTTAGTTTAAGCCTAAGCACGAGAACACGGCATATCCAACAGGCACCCAGGAGATGTAACTACCACCTGTTCCTCGTATTCAACCACTACTGTCTCCAAGGAGGTTAAGAGACCACTGGAATTAACAGGCAGAAAACAACAGCAGCAGCATTCACCTTTCTTCTGTGAGTTCAGGTGGGAGACTTCCCACAGGAAAGCTGGGCTCCCAATTCAAGAAGGACGGGCAACTGCTGCAGAAGGTACAGCAAAGGGCCACAAAGATGGTTTGGGGCCTGGAGCATCTGCCTTATGAGGAGAGGCTGAGGGACTTGGGTCTTTTTAGTCTGGAGAAGAGAAGGTGGGGGGTTGATCTGATCAATGCTTATAAATACTTAAAGGGTGGGTGTCAAGAGGATGGGGCCAGTCTTTTTTCAGTGGTGCCCAGGGACAGGACAAGAGGAAATGGGCACAAACTTGAGTATAAGAAGTTCCACCTAAACATGAGGAGGAATGTCTTCACTTAAAGGGTGGCAGAGCACTGGAATAGGCTGCCCAGAGAGGTGGTGGAGTCTCCTTCTCTGGAGACATTCAAAACCCACCTGGACACATTCCTGTGCAACCTGCTCTAGATGGACCTGCTTTGGTAGGGGGCGTTGGACTAGATGATCTCCAGAGGTCCCTTCTAACTGTGATTCTGTGAAAGGCTAAATTCCTTTGAAATCCTTCAAGGTGGACAATAACTTTGTTCAGCGCCTCGCAAGGGCTACTGACTCACCAGCTGGAATCTGTGGCCGAAGCTCAGCCACTCCTTCTCCACCAGCACTTCAAAGCCCCTGATGGTTCGGTAGTAGCCATCTAACATGAGCAGGGCCAGGGAGGTGAGCTGGGCTGTCCGGTCCCAGCCGTCACTGCAGTGTACAACCACAGATGTCTTCCCCGATTCCACCTTGTCAGCAATCCGAAGGGCTCCAGCGAGAATGAGCTGGGACAAAGGAAAAAAAAAAAAAGTTACAAAATCTCTTTGGAACAGAAACTACACATGAAAAATGGCTGGTGACAACACAGGACAAACCAAGGGCTCTGTCTGCCCCAAGGAGAATGGTGAATCAGTTCCAGCTACTTTATGACTAGGATGGCAAATTGGTGAACACATGTTTTTGTTCCAGCAAGATGACAACATGTGAACTGTAGCGTGGGCACAACTTCAGCAGGGTCCCTGCATTAAGCTCAGTCCTCGGACAGACCAGGATTTGAAGGCAGAAGCACTCTGTGTCTGAAACAAACACAAAATGGCCATCACCTTGCAACTGCCCCTTTCTGCATCAGCAGGCAGACAACATAAGCTGGACGTGTTTAGGAAAGAAAGAGCTTAATTTGAAAGTCAACATTTGTAGAAGCTGACACATTTGCCCCCCTCATTTCAATTCTGCTTGGATTCCTGAAAGGCCGATGGGGCAGGAACTCCCAACACCTGCTGATCTGGACCAGGCAGTAATGCCAGGATGTTCAGGATCCCCAAGTCAAGAGCCTGGAAACTCTGGGATTCCTGTCCTCTGACCAGGGCGTTCACAGTCACACAATGCCCAGGAACACACTTCACTTCCAAAACACCATAGAATTGTCCAGGCCGGAAGGGACCTCCAAAGGCCATCTAGTCCAACCTCCCCGCAGTCAGCAGGGACACCCCCAACTAGACCAGGTTGCCCAGGGCCTCGTCGAGCCTCACCTTGAATATCTCCAGGGAAGGGGCCTCAGCCACCTCCCTGGGCAACCTGTTCCAGTGCTCCACCACCCTTACAGTAAAGAACTTTCTCCTAAGAGAAAAGTTCTCCATCTTTCAGTATTTCACACCCCTCTCTTGTCCCTCTTCGCATCTCCTCAAAATTCCCCATTCCGAGAAACTGGTTTTAGTTGTTTTTAAACTGAAAACGAATTGTAAATCTTCAAATTTCTCATGAATTGAAAATCCAGCACTGGAGTGACCTCTGGATACACTTCCCAGTGAACAGCCTGGTACAGGCTTGTGGTGGCTCAGCCACAGCGAGTGGGTGCAGACGTGTGTACCTTGATATGCTCTAGCCAGTGAGTTGACTCCAAATTAGACAGCCAGTGAGTCTCCTCGATATTGGGATACACAATTTCTTTCAGTTTTCGCAGCGATTCCCTCATAACGTGAATATTGTGAATGTCCAGGAACACTAACTCTGCGTTCTGATAGGCATCCTCACTCTCGTAGCCCCCTCCTTTAGCCTGAAGAACAAAATCCACATAAAAATCATTAAGCAAAAATGCATTTTATATTTTATCCCGATCGTTTGCCCTGAGCAAATATCAGCTGACAGAATACCACAGTGATTGTGCTATAAGCAGGCAATAAATATTGATGTATCTTACAATTGGGAACAAACATGTAAACACACACACTTCGTGTCTCTTTGCTGCAATAGTAATGAATGCTATAATTTTTACCACAGAATATTACATTACAAGCCGCCTTTTTCTCTATAATTATCATTTATCCCCATTCAAGCTGGTAGCTCATTAGATTCACTATTCTGTCATTTACAAATTTACCATACTATTACAGAGGAGTATATCCCACACACAAACTGCCTTTCCTAAATAGTGGGAAAGACAGATTAAAAAGAAAAAAAAAAAATCAGCTTTAGTGCAACAAAGCATTTCTACCATTACAACAGGGCTTAGAGTTATGGCAAGAGACTTAACACCGGGAAGAAAACAGCAACGTTCCTAGACATTAAAGATCCCCAGCTCATATTTTGAAATTAAAGATCATGATGCCTGACTCTCAGAAGCCCTGGGTGACCTCTGCCCCCAGCAGGGCTGGTAGGGACAGAGCTCTGTGCCGTTAGAGGAAGGAGGCTTTCAACCACGTCAAGTGAAAAACAGTGATACACAAGAGACAGGGTGTTAAGAGTTTGACCTCGGTTCTGCTCGGATTTTTTCCCTTCCAATCCCATTTCAAAAAGAGGATTAATCCAACTCATAGAATCATAGAATTGTCCAGGCCGGAAGGGACCTCCAAAGGTCATCTAGTCCGACCCCCCCACAGTCAGCAGGGACACCCCCAACTAGACCAGGTGGCCCAGGGCCTCGTCGAGCCTCTCCTTGAATATCTCCAGGGATGGGACCTCAACCACCTCCCTGGGCAACCTGTTCCAGTGCTCCACCACCCTCACAGTGAAGAACCCTCTCCTAATCTCCAGTCTAAATCTGTTCCCCTCCAGCTTAAAGCCATTGCCCCTCGTCCTATCCCTAAAGGCCTTTCTAAACAGGCTCTCCCCAGCCTTCCTGTAGGCCCCCTTCAGGTACTGGAAGGTCACTATTAGGTCTCCCCGGAGCCTCCTCTTCTCCAGGCTGAACAACCCCAGCTCCCTCAGCCTGTCCTCGTAGCAGAGGTGCTCCATCCCCCTGATCATCCTTGTGGCCCTCCTCTGGACCCTCTCCATCAGGTCCATGTCCTTCTTATATTGAGGGCTCCAGACCTGCACACAATACTCCAGGTGAGGTCTCACCAGAGCAAAGTGGCAGAAGCACCTCTCTGGACCTGCTAGCAATGCATCTTTTGATGCAGCCCAGGATGTGATTGGCCTTCTGGGCTGCCACTGCACACTGCCTGCTCATGTCCAGCTTCTCGTCCACCAGCACCCCCAAGTCCCTTTCCTCAGGGATGCTTTCTTATACCTCACCCCCTACCTCACCCCAACTGGACCTGTCATTGTCACACTGATACCTACTGATACCAGCTCAGGTATGTAACTCCATCTAGAGACTCAGATCACTGCATGTGACACTCCATAGTAGAAAAGGAATCATTCGAAACGGTGATGGGAAATGTGCTCTAAATGATTACATTCCCAGCTTCTGACAGAGGAAAAAGCACCTGACCTTATTGGCTACAGCATTGACACTAGGCCTTGCATCAAATATGAAGATTTTATGGGATTGAGCATTAGAATCCATGATGGCTTGAAGGTACTTTTCATCTTCCTTGCTTCGTTTGCCGCTCACTCCCACCATGGGTTGGCTACAGCGAGTGATGGTTGCTTGACTTTCTGGGTGAATCCATGACAGCACCTTCGGAAACAAATGAGAAAGAAATGAAGGAAAAATGGGGCTCATTAGACCAGTGAAGTGTTTTACCTGTAATGGCTTGTGCTGGGATCCTGCCACGTATTAGCTAGTTCCAGAAGGCTGGATTACTGGATTATTAAATCACGACTGAATGACAGAAAAAAACTCTTCTGTCTTTACTCATTCTGGTGGCATTCCCAAAGTTTGAACAAACAAGAGGTGACTGAATAGGTTTAAGTCTGACTTAAGTGTGACACAGACTGTTTTCTCCCTGTTGCGTGAGTCACAAACCCACTTTCTCCCTCTGCAGTCATCGGGCTGTGCCTTACTCTGTGTTACACCAGGCAGAAGTTAAGCACTTTATGAACAGACTGAATTTTCTACAGGCTTGAGAAGTAAACTTGTATATTTTCAGTTAGTGCCGAAATAATCGTAAAGGTGTGTTTTGTCTTAATTTCACTCAATAAGCATTGTCATCGAGACTATCACTAAGTATTCCTCGCCAGTCAGAGCAGGGCAGACAATTGTAAACAACCAAACAGGGCTGCTTGGCGTTTCCCAGGAACTGAACTCAGATTTGGTCTGGGTTGTGCTAAGTTATCTTATCTGCTCATTTTGGTTTAGTCTACATCTCTTTCACAACAGTGGTTCCAGCAGATAATGTTGCTTTCTAACTCCTCAAACACATTGCTGTCACTTTTATTATCCATTGACCATTTATTTGCTCCCTGGAATCCACTCAGCCTGATCTTGGTAATATTTATGGCCCAAAGGTATGTAACAACAACCACATCAAAGTGGCCTCTTTTGTCACACTCACTGGTATGCGTCCTCTTGATCTGAAAGATGCTACTCTCTTTAATTCTTCATCGGGAATGTTTACGGGCACAGCCAGAATGGCAGGGTATGTATCACACAGCTCGTAGCGCTCATTAATCTTGGTCAACCTCCAGCTTTCATTGGGAATTCCCTAAAGAGGAAACAACAGCAGGTCAGCAAACGAGTTGCTCTGAGACCTCCACAAAGTCCAATCCCCAGACCTGAAATTCAAGGCACCTTTTGTTAATGAAGGACATTTAGGGCTGGAGCCTGGGACTGTATTGTCTCGGTAGCTTGTATTTCGTGCCTCTTCCCAGAGAGGTGGGTGTTTTGCTCAGGTCACTGAAGAACAGGGAAAGTAGAAGACTATGGCAAAGGAACTCTGGAGGCTACAGTCCCCTCAGAGTATTTTTAACATGTCTCCTGGTCTCCTGATGCTGCTTACAGGAGAGCCAGGAGCAGGACACAATGGGTGACTGACATGAGAGGAGCGAAAGCAGGGTGGAAAGTGGAGTTACCAGACTGGATGGAGGGGCAGACAGAAGGGAGAACAGGCAGTAAAACACCCCCAAAAAATCGATTTGTTTTGGGCCTTGTTGAGCATTTGTAGCACAGCTGTGCAATCCCCTAAAACCACCAGAAACCCAATAACTATATGTCTGTGGCTGTGAGACTGTATGTCATCTGGACAGTCACGTGTAGCTCCCGTGTTCCTCCCAGACCAAGCTCTCTGGTTGCACCAGTCTGACTTGGGCTGGGAGAGCCGGGCACCTACACACACACACCACCAGGCTCAGCGTGCCCTGATAGGGACACAACTCAACAGCTTCCCAGATGACAACCTCCAGGTAACACCCCAAGCACTACGGGGACAATCCTGACAACCTGTGGAGTTGGTCTGGCTGGCGCTGGGATTTGACAGATCAGAACGGTGCGGTTGCTACCGGGTGCCTGCCAGGAGACACACACTCCTGGGGTGAGCGTGGACACAAAGCACCTCTGTGGGGAAGACACATCTACTACGGCTCCTGTAGGCAGTGAACGTGGCCAGACTGTTAAGCACAGGGTCTGATTTAGAGGAACATCAGTTCTTTAAACAATACATGCTTTTGTTCCAATAAACAGTACTTCATTTTAAGGAGGGTGGTGGGACACTGTCGCGGCTCCCACAGGAAATACATGACCAATCTAACACAGGTCAGACAAGCTGCAGTAATGATGGTTGACCCACGCAGACTGCAGCTGGTTCCCCGCCAGAGCGTGAGTCACGCTGTCAGAACAGGTCATGGTTAGACATCTGAGGAGAGGACACATCTGCCCAATACGGGTCACACCCTGCTTGTGAACCACCCCTGGTCCTGGGGCCCTCCCTGGGAAGGAAGCGTTACCAGAAGGAATCAGCAGAGCTGCCAGGATCAGAGTACCCCAAAACCCTACAGGGAAGCTATTCTGGCACTGCCTGAAGCCAAAGAATCACAGAATCATCTAGGCTGGAAGAGACCCTCGGGATCATCGAGTCCAACCATCTACCCTACTCTAAAGTTCTCCCCTACACCATATCCACCAACACCACATCTAAACGACTCTTAAACACAGCCAGGGATGGTGACTCAACCACCTCCCTGGGCAGCCCATTCCAATGCTCGACCACTCTCTCTGTGAAGAATTGTTTCCTAATGTCCAGTCTAAACCTACCCTGGCGCAACTTGAACCCATTACCCCTTGTCCTATCATCTGTAACTTGGGAGAAGAGACTGACCCCCGCCTCTCTACACCCTCCTTTCAGGTAGTTGTAGAGAGAGACAAGGTCTCCCCTCAGTCTCCTTCAGACTGAACAACCCCAGCTCCCTCAGCCTCTCCTCATAAGACTTACTCTCCAGACCCCTCACCAGCTTCGTTGCCCTTCTCTGGACCCGCTCCAGCACCTCAATGTCTTTTTTATGGTAGGGGGCCCAAAACTGGACACAGTACTCGAGGTGGGGTCTCACCAGTGCCGAGTACAGGGGGATGATCACCTCTCGGGTCCTACTCACCACACCGGCATCAAACAGTGTGTATACAAAGTCCAAGCCTCTGATGGGTAAAACATGCTGAAAGGTCTACCTGCTGTACACAGCAAGGACGGAATCTTCTAGGTCCACCAGCTCTGCTGTCAACCAGGGAATAACAAGCCTTGCTCTTCCCTGTCCATCAGTGTGATCAAACTGGTTACTCTCTGAAGTGAACTAATGGCAAATGACCAAATTGTTCTCAGTCCTGTCCTAGTAAGTACATGATGGCAATGGATCCATCGGCAACACACGGAGATTTCACCTCCCCCAAATCTGAATTAAAACTAGGCTGTCAGCACGCTCCTGGCATGGAAAATGGGAGCTGACAAAGTTACATGGAGGAAAAGCTCCTTTCTGTTCTACCCTGCAACTCCACCAGTGCTCACAGAGGAGATCAAGCAGTCACTGGGGCTGTAAAGCACCCTCTTCCCAGCACGGGGCTTCAGCACATGCTGCTCAGGCCAGAACCAACATCTCCAAAGCTCTAAGTCCCCACCCTGACCAGGAAAATCCATGACAATTCCTTAAAGAAAGAAAAGATGTTGTATGGCAGTGTTCTCATTTCCTCTGAATCACAGGGAATGTCTGCTTTCCCTGGCACAGGAGCCTTGAATCACAGCACCACGCAAAGAGGTGGTGACCTCTTCAGACCATGAAGGACTGGAAGCAGGCAGAAGTAAGCAAAGCAGGCTAGAAGAGGAGCCAAATTTGCATCTTCCCATGGTGTTTGCCACGGTGCAATGTATCTTGTGCATTTATTCATGCGCCTTCAGATTTGCACTTTCTCCAGCTGGAATCAATAGAAAGAGCTAAACATGATCTAAAGCACATCGGTATTTCCTCATATAATATGCATTTCACTGCTTCCTGTTAAGTTGTAAGCACCCAAAAGCCTATCAACCCAACCCAGACTGTTACAGATGGAACTCAAGAAGCCTCTGCAGGCTCAGGACCAGTCCTGGGAGCCACCTGGCTGTGCACCTGCAGGAGGAACCCAGGCATGTCCCACTAACAATGGGTGTGATGGTCCAGAAGCTGCTAGGGAACGTGGCTGTTGGGTGTCCACATTAGTGACCAGAGCATGCTGCACTCACTGGTGCACAAAGTCCATCTTCTCTAGGTAAACTAGCACCACTAGTTGACTCTGATTTCAGGGGAACTCACGTGTTCAGTTGCTGCCAGAAAGCAAAGTGAGGAGGGCAACGTGGCCACATCTACAGTCACAAATTAAATGTGCCCATGATGGTTCTCACCGAGACCAGCTGGCACAATGCCCCCATACTTTTAAACTTGTTTATTCTCAAAACAGAGCAGTTTGTCCAAACTGCCTACTGGTGAGCCCTGGCTTGCGTCAACCGCTGAGCTGTGCCCAGGTTTGGCAGCAGGCGAGCTGGCCTTGCAGCCCACCCTCTTCTCGACTCCACAAGGGCCCAACTGTGTCTTCAGGCCCCATCTCTGATGTGGCCCCGCTGCACAACCATGGCTCAGGCTGCCAAGGACCCTGCAAAGCCACGCCAAAGAGCTGCATGAAAATCCAGAGAAAGACAAGAAACGTAAAATTGCTGAGAGGGAAGAGAGCTTGTTGAGATGGGGATTGCTGGTAGCTCAGGGTTTCAAGGGAAAATATCATCATGAAATGGTATAAAATCCAAAAGAAAAAACTGTGAGTCTATTAGGCAGTCACTGGGTGATGGCCAACAGCTGGGCCATCTGTGTGCTGGTGTTGATGTTACCAGTGGAAGACAGCAACAACCAGCCAACACAGGGAGGTGCATGTGCTACTGCCTGGGCAGGAAAGTCTCTTCAGGTGCCTTCTCTGGGGGGGTGAGCACTAATGTTCAGCCTAGTAGCTAGTCAAGTCCCTGCCTTCTTTATTGTGCAATTGCTTTATTCTTTCACAGAATCACAGAATGATACAGGGTTGGAAGGGACCTCTGGAGATCTTGTGCACAAAGTCCATCTTCTCTAGGTAAACTAGCACCACTAGTTGACTCTGATTTCAGGGGAACTCACGTGTTCAGTTGCTGCCAGAAAGCAAAGTGAGGAGGGCAACGTGGCCACATCTACAGTCACAAATTAAATGTGCCCATGATGGTTCTCACCGAGACCAGCTGGCACAATGCCCCCATACTTTTAAACTTGTTTATTCTCAAAACAGAGCAGTTTGTCCAAACTGCCTACTGGTGAGCCCTGGCTTGCGTCAACCGCTGAGCTGTGCCCAGGTTTGGCAGCAGGCGAGCTGGCCTTGCAGCCCACCCTCTTCTCGACTCCACAAGGGCCCAACTGTGTCTTCAGGCCCCATCTCTGATGTGGCCCCGCTGCACAACCATGGCTCAGGCTGCCAAGGACCCTGCAAAGCCACGCCAAAGAGCTGCATGAAAATCCAGAGAAAGACAAGAAACGTAAAATTGCTGAGAGGGAAGAGAGCTTGTTGAGATGGGGATTGCTGGTAGCTCAGGGTTTCAAGGGAAAATATCATCATGAAATGGTATAAAATCCAAAAGAAAAAACTGTGAGTCTATTAGGCAGTCACTGGGTGATGGCCAACAGCTGGGCCATCTGTGTGCTGGTGTTGATGTTACCAGTGGAAGACAGCAACAACCAGCCAACGCAGGGAGGTGCATGTGCTACTGCCTGGGCAGGAAAGTCTCTTCAGGTGCCTTTTCTGGGGGGGTGAGCACTAATGTTCAGCCTAGTAGCTAGTCAAGTCCCTGCCTTCTTTATTGTGCAATTGCTTTATTCTTTCACAGAATCACAGAATGATACAGGGTTGGAAGGGACCTCTGGAGATCTTCTAGCCCAACCCCCTGACAAAGCAGGTCCACCTAGAACAGGTTGCAGAGGAACATGTCCAGGCAGGTTTTGAATGTCTCCAGAGAAGGACACTCCACCACCTCCCTGGGCAGCCTATTCCAGGGCTCTGCCACCCTCAAAGTGAAGACATTCCTCCTCATCTTTAGATGGAACTTCTTATATTCAAGTTTGTGCCCATTTCCTCTTGTTCTGTCACTGGGCACCACTGAAAAAAGACTGGCCCCATCCTCTTGACACCCACCTTTTAAGCATTTAAAAGCATTGATCAGATCACCCCCCTGCCTTCTCTAGACTAAAAAGACCCAAGTCCCTCAGTCTCTCTTCATAAGGGAGATGCTCCAGGCCCCAAACCATCTTTGTAGCCTCTGCTGTATCCTCTCCAGTAGTTCCCTGTCCTTCTTGAACTGGGGAGGCCAGAACTGGACACAGTGCTCCAGATGGTGCCTCACTAAGGCAGAGCAGAGGGTCAGGATAACTTCCCTCAACCTGTCAGCCACACTCTTCTTGATGCACCCCAGGATGCCACTGGCCTTCTTGGCCACAAGGGCACATTCAATCAGCATACATCCTGCTGGCAGAGTGTCTTCATGCATGGCTAAAGACGCTCAAACACACTCACTCAAAAGAATCATAGAATGGGTAGAGTTGGAAGATCATTGAGTTCCAACCCCCCACTATGGGCAGGGACACCTCCCACTACACCAGGTTAACTAACCTCACTAGCATAAACAGGACCTCAGTTAAACCCTGGGACATTTAATGATTCAACTCTCATTTTACTCCCTCGAGTTACGCCCAACAATCCCCTGCAGGATGCTGTTCCCATGCCCTCCCTTTCCCACTCTGCCTGTATACTAATGCTGGGCATGTCATTTATCCTCAAAACAGGTCAGCCCCTCTTCTGAATTATTATTTTTTGTATGCTTTCTCTGCAAGCAGCAACCACAGCCCTATACTGTGGCTCCCTGGTACATATGACCAGAGCATAGGATTAGACGAGCATGATTTCTGTAGGGAAACACCGCACATTTCCAGCTTCACAATCCCCTGTAATATTTTCCAAATGCTCCCCACCTTGTTAAGGAAAATGAAAGCTTTAAGTTACTCCAAAGACATCTCAAGGCCTTTTGGTTTCAACTGAGTCTTATTCACTTCACCATTCTGTTTTATACTCTGCCAGCCCGTGTGTAATAAAAATCAGGGAGCAATTTCAGTTTTAAATTTCATTTGCCACATGTGATTCCATTTATGGACTAAATCCCAAACCTCTCTGAGTTCCTTTTGTTCTCTACAGGTTGTTTATTACTCCCCATAGTTTTACACAATCACAGATTTTTTAATAAGTTACATATTTCCATCCTTCCCAAGAACAGAGAAGTCAGGCGTTTACGGAATATCTTCCCTAATTGCTACAATCTCCATCGTATCAACACGCTTACGTTAATCTAAAAAAAAGAATTATAATAAATAAATCATACCACGTGCACACTTGCCATGTACACCGGCGTAGGCACAGAACCTACCATGAATACTACTCTAAAAGTCTTTTCTGGATACCTAGTAGTTGGCTTCTGCTTTTGGTCCACCCTGCTCTCCCAAAGTCCCTGCTCCCAGAGGGAAATGACTGACCCGGTCTACGATACATCAAATGAAGGCCTGGCCATGCTGTTGGCTGCTTATGCCCTCGGCCAGCTCTTCTCGGATAGTTTTTAACCCAATACCAAAAGGTCCTGCAGACAGTGTATATGTCCTGCTTTTCTATTTCTGATCACAATTCATACGGTCAGAGACAGGTAACCCCATTATCTGATTTGATGATGCCAGTTTTGTTTCACTGTTAACGAATCCCTGCTGCCATTTCAGGACATAACCCTGATTTACCGCAGGGTTTGTTATTGCTTTAACAGAACCTGGTTGGATTAAGAAAAAAGGCTAAGACATTCGCACAGATAAATTGAACACCCATAGTTATAAATGCTGAAATTAAATAAACAGACTGAAATACCTACATGTTTTGGAGGGGACATAAAGCTTCATACAACAGGACTTAAATCAACTCTTAATGAAAGGGATGAAATTCTCCTCCTGGCCAGGTCACAACATAAACATCTACTGCAGTAGGGTTTGCCTCTTCTTCAGCAGCTGGTGTTGGTCACTTTTGGAGATAAGCTACTGGAACAGATGGATTGTGTGATGTGGAATGGGAATGACTGTGGCCCACCATGGGTGAAATTCAGATAGGCTGTGGCTGCAAGAAATCCTGGTTTGCAGGGATTTTTGCAGTTACCAATGTAAGCAAAAGACTGGGGCCTTCAGCTACGGACATCAGTTCGGGTTCTTGACACAAAGGCAGTCAGGCTAAGTTTTTCCTGTCTGCTCAAAAACCACCAATAGGCAGGTGATAACAAAAGGAGCACATGCTGCAGCAATGGCTCAGCTGTGACAGGTTTTAGGTGCAGCAGCGCTGCCTCGCGTGACCAGAAACAGAGACACCACAGCCCTGAGTCCCATTTTGTTTAGAGAAAGGCCACAAAGAGCTGCAGATCACATGCATGTAAATACATGTATCTTTTTACTGTGTAACCAAGCTCCTGCCAAATTTAAGGTACAGCCAAGCACAATATTGGCTTAAGGGATTGGAGCACCTCCCTTAGGAGGAAAGGCTCAAGGAGCTGGGACTCTTTAGCCTGGACAAGCGAAGACTGAGGGGAGACCTTATTTATGTTTATAAGTATCTAAAGGGTGGGTTGAAGGATGGTGGAGCCGGACTATTTTCAGTGGTTCCCAGTGACAGGACAAGGGGCAACGGGCACAAGCTGGAACAGAGGAAGTTCCATTCAAATATGAGGAAAAACTTCTTTACAGTGAGGGTGACAGAGCCCTGGAACAGGCTGCCCAGGGAGGTTGTGGAGTCCCCTTCTCTGGAGATCTTCAAGACCCACCTGGATGCAGCCCTGAGTGATGTGCTCTGGGCAATCCTGCTTTAGCAGGGGAATTGGACTAGATGATCTCTAGAGGTCCCTTCCAACTCTGACAATTCCGTGATCCCGTGATATAAAAACTAGTATGGAGAGAAAAGCTTGAATTCTAAAACCAGATACGCCAGGATTAAGAAATTGGAATAATTTACCTTGAAATTCTCAAGGGTCACTCTTTCTTTTTTCTTCATTGTAAGAATGTCTTTTGTACTTCATCTGCCTTAACTGCAGCTTGGCAAAGTGAATGCTGTGCTTTTCAATGGAGGTTATTTTGACAGCACAGGTATTCTTCAGGCTTTACTCCGAAGTTCTCAGTCCTGTAAAGAGGCATCTTTCCTATACAGCCTGGGCTGCAGGGCCCTCCTTATAAACACCTTTCCTTAAAGTCACTACCAAGAAAGAGGTAAATTCTAAACAATTCTGGTCTTATTAGTCAAAGTCGACCACAGATACAATGTGTGTCATTGATTACAAATGACTGGAGTTTGTTTCTACCAGGATTTGAGACTGTGGTATCTCATTGCAAAACATACACTTGTTCACAATGAAGACGGCGAAGGTAAAATACATCTCACTTTCAATTAGCAGCCTAGAAGCCAGCGATCTATCTTAGGCAGCTATTTTAGGAGGGAACAAATCACCCCCAACAGTGAAGCTCTCTCTCCCCATCTGTTAATGACAGGCCTAGATAACCGATTTAGAAGGCATGCCCAGCTTTTAGAAGACTACAGCTCGGAAAATGAATCCCTTCCTTAGGTTTTGGATACCAAGAATCAGATGAACAACGAGGCTAGGACAGACATCTTGGTTTGGTTTCCTTTATGGAAAAGATACAAATAAATCTTTAAATTACATGGATGTAAATTTTTTTTAATTTTACAAAGGAAAACTGGTTTTATCCTGGCAGATCTGGATGAAACAAAAATTTGATGTGTCCAGAGCAAAACTGTCACTAAGTGCTGTTTCCTCAACTTGAGAATGACAAGAGTGATTTCATTATAAAAACAAAAATCCTCCCATCTTTTCCCCCAGGGAGGACCACTCAAATTTTTAACTGCAGTATCCTTACCTGACAGCATACCACCTCACGGTCAGTAACACCTTTGACCAGTCAGCTCTGGGCACACGACAACTCTCTGTTCCAAGCTATGGTTAATCACAACACTCTCTAGGTTGATCCCTGTGCTGATTTGCCATGAAAATGAAGGCATTCTACATTTAATTTTTTTTTTTTCTTTCCAAGTTCCTGTTTGAGATCTTACAGCAAACTGGAAACAATTAAAACTGATACAAGGAAGAGCTGAGGTGTGAAACTCAACAATGGGATGTCTGTACCCACACAACACATCCTCGGTTGCTCACTGCCAGCAGTGCCTCATGACTAAGCCAGAGCAATAGGTTTTCTTCTACCAAAGCCTAAAGTCAGCTCTCTGCAGCCTGAGTAATTCCCATCAGTGGATGCTGCTCTCTCTAAAGCTGTACTGCTGTCATCAATCTCTGCAGTGTGGAGAACAATGTCCTAACCCAGCCTGCATGACATTTGTCAGCAGGATCATTCTCCACCTCCATGTGACCTGTAATTACATTACTGCACAGAGGCTCGCTTCCGCAGAGTAGAGAGGATGAGGAAGGACACGGCAATAATACCCACCTGTCTTCTGTACTCCCAAGTGGGGTCATACACCTTCCATCCATTTTCTGGGAAAACCTCTTTGTACTCAAATGCAAAAAGTGGCTGAAAGAAAGGAAGAAAATTTAGCATTAAGAGCTAATTCAGAGCCCATTTCCAAGATGTTTGATACCTCAAATAATAACCCATGACTGTTCCTTCTTTTCTTCCTACTGCACTACTCTTCTTTTAGGGCTTTGTGAAAAAGATCAACATTCTCAGTGTAGCAGGTAATTAGTACAACAATGTACCTTCCTCTACACCTCTGATCTTGCTTGTCTATTACCTGGTACTTCATGGACAAAAGAGGTTTGTTATCAAAGAAAAGACTACTCGGGCAAGAAAGCTTTCACATATTAAAACTAGATTTTTCCAACCTGCATTTGAAGCAACAATTGCAGTGTTGTAACACAACAGATGAACTACACTGCAGAGCTGGGAGCAGTGCAGTCACCATTAGCTGTAATCCTCTGATGGATGTCACTGTGCTTTGAATATTTTCCCTCTCTTATGAGGATGTGAGTATCCTTCCACGCATGAAGGAATCCAGTCCCACAGTAGCAGACTTTCCCCATTTCTATACAATCTAAATTCCTACAGAATTCACTCTAAGACAGATTTAAAAAAAAACAGCATTTCTCCTCCTTCAACAAAATGCAGCCCACGTGAATATTGTACCAGGTAGATGGGAATAAACAAAGCAGCTTACTGTCAACTCTGTGTCTTTTGGTAATAACTGAAAAGAAAATACTTACCAGATTATTTGAAACTGGAAAAGCATATTTCATTAGGTTCTCAAATATGGATCGTCTAGTTCTCCCTTCAGGCTTATGAGCAAATCGCAAGTTTCGAATATCCTAGGAAAAAAAAAAGGAAATAAAATTGTAGATTTCCAAACCACTTCACCATCCAAAGAAACTCTGAAAATCAACATCCTAAAATCGGGCAACATCGTGATGCTCTTTCTAGTACTGCTTTAGCACTGTACTTTGAACACTGTTGCACTTGTAGCAAAGCAACTAAAGCCACCTCTTTTTAAAAGTTTTCATCTCTCAGAGCAGGAGAGAGGATGACTGGAACTGACAACTCCTCTACTTTGCACAGCAGCACAGTTTTCACAAAGAGCAGTAACCCACGACCTCCTCTCCATACTCATCTACAACATCAAATTCAATAAATAATGCATCTCTAAGATGCCAAGATTTTCCAGCCAAGCCTACAACTCAATAACCTTTACTAACCAGTCTAAAAGCCACCAGCAGGAAATGAACTACCAAGTTCAAGCACAGGAAGATGTTTTAAAAGTTTTCATCTCTCAGAGCAGGAGAGAGGATGACTGAAACTGACAACTCCTCTACTTTGCACAGTGGCACAGTTTCCACAAAGAGCAGTAACCCACGACCTCCTTTCCATACTCATCTACAACATCAAATTCAATAAATAAAGCATCTCTAAGATGCCAAGATTTTCCAGACAAGCCTACAACTCAGTAACCTTTACTAACCAGTAACGTGAATATTGTACCAGGTAGATGGGAATAAACAAAACGGCTTACTGTCAACTCTGTGTCTTTTGGTAATAACTGAAAAGAAAATACTTACCAGATTATTTGAAACTGGAAAAGCATATTTCATTAGGTTCTCAAATATGGATCGTCTAGTTCTCCCTTCAGGCTTATGAGCAAATCGCAAGTTTCGGATATCCTGGGGGAAAAAAAAGGAAATCAAATTGCAGATTTCCAAACCACTTCACCATCCAAAGAAATTCTGAAAATCAACAGTCTAAAATCAGGCCGGAAAAGCATATTTCATTAGGTTCTCAAATATGGATCGTCTAGTTCTCCCTTCAGGCTTATGAGCAAATCGCAAGTTTCGGATATCCTGGGGGAAAAAAAAGGAAATCAAATTGCAGATTTCCAAACCACTTCACCATCCAAAGAAACTCTGAAAATCAACATCCTAAAATCGGGCAACATCGTGATGCTCTTTCTAGTACTGCTTTAGTACTGTACTGTGAACACTGTTGCATTGCAGCTCTTGTTCTGGTTCACTGGTCATCTGCAGCCTCCAGCAAAGCCTGCCACAACTGCAGAGGAGCAGAGGGAGTGCACACACATGCCTGAATGGTGACATCTTGCCTCTACATGAAGTCTTCTACCTGCTGAAATTCAAGGAAAACCCCGCTCAGGCACAAGCTGTCTCTGACCAGCAGGACTCTGTGAGACAGACCTTCCAGCTCCTACCAGGCTCTCAGGCTGAGCTGTGCCTGAAGACAGCTGGGAGTGACTGCCTCACAAAGTACCCCTGCACAGCTACTGCACGTAGGGAGCCCAAGCCCAGCCAGTTTGGTCATCGTGATGCTCTTTCTAGTACTGCTTTAGCACTGTACTTTGAACACTGTTGCACTTGTAGCAAAGCAACTAAAGCCACCTCTTTTTAAAAGTTTTCATCTCTCAGAGCAGGAGAGAGGATGACTGGAACTGACAACTCCTCTACTTTGCACAGCAGCACAGTTTTCACAAAGAGCAGTAACCCACGACCTCCTCTCCATACTCATCGTTTTTTGGGGGTTTTTTTGGTTTGTTTTTTTTTTTTTTTTTTTTGTGGTTGGACTCGATGATCTCAGAGGTCCCTTCCAACCACTAAGATTCTGTGATTCTGTAAAAGCCACCAGCAGGAAATGAACTATCAAGTTCAAGCACAGGAAGATGGCCATCCAAAGAAACTCTGAAAATCAACATCCTAAAATCGGGCAACATCGTGATGCTCTTTCTAGTACTGCTTTAGCACTGTACTTTGAACACTGTTGCACTTGTAGCAAAGCAACTAAAGCCACCTCTTTTTAAAAGTTTTCATCTCTCAGAGCAGGAGAGAGGATGACTGGAACTGACAACTCCTCTACTTTGCACAGCAGCACAGTTTTCACAAAGAGCAGTAACCCACGACCTCCTCTCCATACTCATCTACAACATCAAATTCAATAAATAATGCATCTCTAAGATGCCAAGATTTTCCAGCCAAGCCTACAACTCAATAACCTTTACTAACCAGTCTAAAAGCCACCAGCAGGAAATGAACTACCAAGTTCAAGCACAGGAAGATGTTACAGCAAGTCAGAGAATGAGATAACCAGCTAAAGGCTTAACTGTCTCACAGGACTGAGATTAGGCAACTGGGTGTCAGAGAGAACATTTCAGGATGCATAAGCTGCATCTGTACTACTCTGTATTGCAAAAAACTGCTCGGCATATCCTGGGCCAAGCACGCTGGCATATACATATATGGACTCTATAGGGCTAAGACACCTATTGTGATTAGTTTGTGCTTGTGTTTCCCACCCAGGGAAGCAATGCAGTTCGCTCCAAACCCAACTCTGTGTGCTAATTAGCACACAGGCAAAATGGCTGAGCACTAGGAATCCAGATCAAAACAGGGAACAAATTAGCCTGGCAGCACAAGCACCTCCACGTTAGCCAGGGAGGATCGTGACTGCAAAGGACAAGGGAGCAGCTGGATGATTTGGTACAGATTATATCCACTGCTCTTGACTCAGCACGCCCACAGCCCGAGAGCCTGCTTAGCTTCCCAGTGCCTCAAAATCACAGCAGTGACCCGAGCAGTTTGGGATTCACTTTCATTCCTCCATCTGCCCTTGTCCAGAAAGTGGCATCCTCTCAGCCTTGAGGAGGCTCTGATGAGCTCTAAGCAGCCCAAGACCTGCAAGGTTCAGCATCCAGTTCTCCCCTCATGGCCACAGAGGGAAGCAGAGGAGCTGTGCCCTGCTGAGCAGCAGAGGTATGAACTTAGAATCATAGAATGGTTTGGGTTGGAAGGGACCTCAAAGATCATCGAGTTCCAACCCCCCTGCCATGGGCAGGGACACCTCCCACCAGAGCAGGTTGCTCAAGGCCCCATCCAGCCTGGCCTTGAACCCTTCCAGGGATGGGGCATCCACAACTTCCCTGGGCAACCTGCTCCAGTGTCTCACCACCCTCATAGTAAAAAATGTCTTCCTGATATCTAATCTGAATCTTTTTTCTTCCAATTTAAAACCATTTCCCCTTGTCCTATCATTACCCTTCCTGGCAAAGAGTCCCTCCCCAGCTCTTCTATAGGCACCGGAAACGGTGTGTTTATCTACTTTGTGGGTCTATGGTAAGTAGACACAAGGAGGCGAATTGTTAATTTTTACTGAAGTTTGCATTTCCCATGATTGGGCTCGGGAGAGGGACATATAAAATATATACTGCCTAGAAAGAACAGTCTCGAGGAGGACTGAAGGCTACTTGCCCTCATCACAAAGCACAGCAGCAGGCGGCCATCAGCTAATGACTGAGGAGGAAACATGCCCCTTTCTTGCTCTTGAAATGCGAGCGAGTCAAAGCCACCCTGTACTCCACAATGACTGGAGGCTTCCTGGGACAGCCTGGTGGGCAACCCCGAGAGCTGCATGGGTGGGATGCAGGCCCAGGTTTCCTCTTTGAAGATAAGACATCACCTAGCACAAAGCCTGAATACAGGTTTGGATCTCGTCTCAAACAAGCGGAGCTGCAGAATCCTGAAAATTGCTTTTAAAATCAGATGTTTTTTAAGTGTGTGAAGTCATACTGAGTGAAATGTTCCACAGAACTTCCTACAGTACTACAGAGAAAACCTTTAAAAATATCTGTTCCCCTTCCCCTCCTGTAAAACACAGATAATAGTTTACCTTGCACACGATCTCCAGCCCGTATGAATTCTCTCCACGACTGGAAGCACCTCCAATTTTCTCCACTCTGTTGATCACACCTAAAGATGCATCTAGGACAAAAGGAGGGTCCTGTAGACAGTTGAAATTTGTGAGTTTAAAAAGGGGAGGGGGAAAAGTTCCCAGCTCCTGCTCCCTCATGCCCGTATTCCCAAACATATAGCTGTGATTGATTCACACAGAATTACTCTCAAAGAACACCTAAGTCTAAAGATTGAACAGCCAACAAAAGCAGATGGTTTCAAAAGCTTACCCGTTCCATGCTTTTAAAATACAGTCTATAATTGGTAACAGTAAGGGTTCCTCTGATTGCTCCAGTGAAGGGGCAGATGTAAGTAACATCCTTAGCTTGAAAAAAGAGAAAAAAAATATGTTAATTTTATGGTTAATTTATGGGAGTAAAATTATGACAGCAACAATATTTGGGGGCTCTACTTTTCAGATCATGAAATGAAAACAAGCTTAATCTGGGCTTCTAGCCTAAAGCTAACATGCAAGTTTCAGTTCTGTGCAGAAGGTAAGAGTTTGGGTGTAAATTGAACTCCAGGCAAGTACCATCACCTAGAACCCTACGTTTGCACAGAACTGCTACCCCTTTAAAAAAGTATTTGTCTGCAAACCGTGTACCTTTACTGAGCAATGCACTGCCAGTGGCTGAGAACACCATGCACAAACAGAGGAGATGATTCCTGCCTGGATGTAGACATTTGAAGCTGACAACTATCTGCATAAAAGCTAAAGTTCAGCAGTAAGCTGCTCTGTGCCACCAAGGACAGGAGAAGGCAGTTCTTCTACACATGGCTTCTAGGATGCTTGGGTCCTTCAGCAGACCCTTGCACGCAGAGTCAGCCCCGGGAAGAAGGCCCTCATGCTGAAGGCCAGAGGAGCTACAGTGATTTCAAGCAGCCACACCAACTGCAGGTGATTTTAAGCCTGAAGTCAGATATCAAGTTACCCTGCAACAATTCAATTATTTTTGAGCCTGAGTGACGGTGACTCAAAACAGTCCCCTTTTAAAAAGGCCTCAAAAGTTTCTCACTTGTTCCAGCAAAAGGCAAGAGGTGCTGCTGGTTTTCCACAGCAAACACCTCCCCTAACTGCCCTTCTGTTTTACATCAATTAAAACTGCCAACATTTAAGTCGTTCCCTCCCCATCACCCAGCAGTGACCCATCACGTTTTCTGCCACTGAAGCAGTTGGCTGGCTGTGCTGTGGCAGTGGTTTATACTATCACCAACAAGTAATGACACTTCTCAAAGACAGAGATCCTTTCAGAAGGAGACCCACTGACCAGAGCTTCCAGATCCATGAACGAACCCCCTGGACCATCTTAATAACCTCAAGCCTCCAAGCCCTACGGGATCCATTTTACAAGAGGAGTGCTCACCTCCCAACCAGGTGATAGCCACCATGCACAACAGGCGTGAGGCTCCTGGGGTCTCAGGATGGGGACCTGAATTTCTTTTACCTTTATCCCATCAGATTTAGCATGGAGGGAGGGAGGGAGGGAGAAGAGACTGCCTTACTCCAGCACACTGGCAGCTCATATAACTATGTCATCCTCACGTCAGCTCTGTTTCTGCATAGTCTTCACTCTCAAGATATGGGTATGGAGAAGGATCTCTAAAAAACCAGGAGTGACTAACTCAGGGCAAAACACACAGCACAGAATTTTTGGTAAAAACTAACTAAATGAAAGATATATACACACGTGCTAGTAATTTCATTATTTATTTAAATTTACGTGCGTTTGTTGGAAGGACAATTAAACACACAAAACGCTTCTAGCCAGTTCTAATTAAACCAAGCGTTTCATTATTGGCCGATTATTAATCACTTCTTTTCAAAGACTAGTTTGACAGAGGCTTGAAAGCAGACTCATGAAGCATAATAAGGGTGAGGGCAGCTTGCCTGGTTTTTCCACTGGGGTTCCCATTATTCGAAATGTAATTTAAAATGTTTAAAAAAGAATAAAACAAAATCCACTAATAAGAAAAGTGTGCATTTACATCTGAAAGGAACCGGATTTCTGGGGAAAGAGGAAAGGTGCTAGAAAAACGTTTTCCAGGTAAAGAATCCCAGGCACGATCTCAAACACTGGCCTTGCCAGCTTGTAAGCCACATTACCTTTCACATTTGCATTTTATTAGCTTGGTTTCCTAAGGAAACAATTTTCCTTAATTACCCTGCACACATACACATGTAGCTCCACACATGGCTCGTCTGACCTTAACCCTACCAGGGCCGTATGATTTCAGCAGTCTCTATCTGATAAACAGGGATCTCCAAGGCATTAAAATGCTTCACTGTGAGAACGGATGCCAGGTATAATAAAGAGGTTGTACTAGTGCTACTACCAGGGGAAAGTCTAATAAACTCAGTCTTTGGTGGATATAACAAAATCCATATGGGAGAAAGATACTGGAAACCAGGATTTACTAATTCCCCTGCTTATGGAATTCCTGTCTTTTATAGGGCTAATCTTACCCTGGATTATTGGGTTGGCTAAAATAATTTTTCTTCCCTTCCCTGTAAAATACGAAGCGAATTACATTTGCCTTTCTTGACGCTTTTAACAGGAAATAATTATTGCTGATGAATAATAAAGATTTCCTTTTTGCTACCTTTAACTTCTTGCTGGACCAGGCAGCTGCTGTCTGTCCTACTCCAGAAGCCACCCAGTCTTACAGACTCATGTGGCTCATCCCATCCTTTGCCAACAGATAAAACACTGGTAACTCTGATCTCTTAAACCATTGCATTCTCCAGGAACCCTCCAAAATATATTCTTGCTGTCAGAGCTAACCATGCCTGGGGAGTGAAGGACAACGCCAGTCTGCAGTGCACGGTTGGAGTATGAGTTCAGAGTCCTTATGGAAGGAGTAGAGTAAAGGATTGAGCACTGAGTGGGGGGGGGGATTGCCTTTTTTGTAGTTGTTGTTGGGTGGGGTTTCTTTGCTGAGGTATTCTGAGGTTTGATGGTTTGGTTTGTTTTATTCTTAGGACCGAAGCTGCACTCTTCCATAGCATTTTAAGAGGAAAGCAACCTGTTAAACTAGTGAATGCAAAATCTTTCGCAGAAAATCACTCAAGAGGCTTACTCAAACTTTCAGACTGGAGTGCATCAGCAAACCTGATGCATGTCAGAACGTCTGGGTGAAAAAAAAAAAAAGAGAAAAAAGCCTCATTCCGGTAACACAGCAAGTTCTCTGCAACAGCACTGTACTCTCTCCTGCAGCCTGTGACAGAGATTCGACACACAATTATGCTGTGTCATCTTCAGAAGTTTCCCTGTAGCAAGCACAATCTGAAACAGCCGATCCATGTCCTTTCCAGAGGCAGCAAATACAAGCTGTACAACCTGCCTCATCACTCATGCTAAGGTACCTTGTATTTACTCCATGCTAAGAGGGTCATACAGTTACCTTTGATTGCATGATGCACAATAACTTAATTAATGAACCAGCCTAATCATGGTTCTCAAAACATCAGCAATTTGCTGTTGCTGGTCAATGACCACCAAGATATTTTGCTCTATGGATATTCTATTTGGTCAGCAAATAATAAGGAATTTCCTCTTGACATACCCATGTCTTTAATGGTTTCTCCCGGTAGCAAGGGTGGCTCTTCCATCTCAGCCAATTTATTAGCCTCTCTCAGGACCTAGGCAAAACACAAAGGTAGAAAAAGAAATTCATTAGGTTTTCATAAACCAAGAAGCTTACACTTACCTGCAATGGGTCAACAATATCAAGGACAACAAGTATTCAAAGATCTGGAGGTACTGCCTAGTGTCTCAGCCTCTGAAAGGCCAACACAAAGCACGTGAAGACCTCGGAGCAGTCCTTGAACATACCACTGGGCTAAGCAGAAGCATTTAAAGCGAGGATGTCTGCGATGGAGAAGCTGTGCAAAGCAGGCTGTGTGCTTCGGCAGCACCCTCCCCAGGTGCCTTTCACCCCCCAACCTTCTCCCCAACCCATCATCATGAGCCAAACTCTCTGTCCACATCGTTACACACAGAACCAAAGGGATGGGTCCCTTTCCCAGCTGAAGTGATCAACTGTTACCACAATGTTAGCAACTATTAAGTAGAGCAATTTTTAGTTTACACTGAGGATAGTTAAAAGGGACACCTTGTCACACCACTGTCTTCAGTGAGGGTCCAACAACTGCACAAATCCTGATTTGGCTCCAGAGTAGTGACTGGTTACAAAGGCTACATTTTGATAGGCATGTATTGGAGTTACAGTTTCAATTTTATTTTTGGCTGCCAAATGACCCCTCCTCCACTTTCCCTCGGAATAAAGTTATACCACAGGACATTACGTTTCACATATATGATTGCATTTACACAAGTTTTTCACGAGAAGAGCTGGTACCAGGAGCAGGTGGACATTTGAGGAAAGCAGTGCTGTAACTATGGAAGCATAACCTCACGTGTAAACCTATGGTCAGACCTCGGGGAGAAGAGTGTACATAAATAACCAAGACAAAGGCTAAGTCTGTGTGGCCAAATGCAGGTGGATTTAATCTGACTGCCCGTGCCTGGAACCGGCCAAATGACCACAACCACAGCAGCACAACAGCTGCTCGACCAAACAACACAGAGAGCAGGTTAGTTGGTCCACGCTCTGCCTCATGCTGTAGCAACCACAAGACTTTGAGTTTAAAGCTGGCGTCATTCCCACCTGGTGAAGACAGGCACAGAGAGCTCATGTCAGCTCACAAATGATGTGCAGGCTCGCCCAAAAACGTTTTCTTTATCTTAATGTGAGGGAAGGATTGTTTTAATTTGATATCAGGAAATCCCTGCAAAGAAAATACAAAGACATGACCTAAAGTGGCACTCTAGAACCTGACACGTCTGTGGTCAACTTTCATGTAGGTTCAAGCCAAAAGGAGAGCCTCAGGGAAGAAAAATTCTCTAAACTATGCAAAAAAAATGAAAACAAAATCCAAAGAAACCCCACGCCACAACAAAAGCACGTTCCGGCTTTTTCACACAACAGATTGATGTATAGATGAAAAGATTAACAAGATCAAAGCTTTCTTGAGAACAAGATGTACGTTTTAAAAAATGCATTCAAAAGACTCCAACAAAAAAAAGTAAAATAATAAAAGCAAGCACAGTCCTGGCTTCCTAAAAGGAACCTCACAAGTGCACCCACTTAGGCCAGCTCTGACCAGGGAGGCTGTCAGAGCAGCTGGACTGGGGTCTACAGGGTGGGTACAGGGAGGTCACCAGTGACAGAGCTCACCCTGGCAGCACTGAATTTGCAGGAAAGTTTCTCCTCCCCCATGTCAGCAACCAGTAAAAACCAGGTTTTCCTGGTATAACTAGCAGAAGCCTATGCTGAGGACTTCTTGTCAGCACAGCTGTGTTGGCCAAAGATCACACATCCCATCAAAGCCCTGACTGATGGCCTCCCCGCCCAAAGCCTGTGATGTAGACCCGCTCTCAACTCCCGTGTGTCAATTTTTGTGCTTGAGCAACAGCCTTGAAATTAGCAGGATAACATCTGGATTAGGATAAATGAGATGGAGGCTTCTGGCTCATTAGCCCCTAAGTGGTAGTCGCCTTTGCAGCCTTTTATCTTGGAACGACATTAGTAAAAACACACCCTGCGTTCAGGACACACGATCACAACTCCTTTGAGAAGGTCCCTACCCCGAACCGGCAGCAGCTGCTGCTGGGATCACTTTGGTCAACAGCTGGACTCGCTGCTCTCCTGCAGATGTCAGCGGGAGCACGCCCAGCGGTAAACATTTGGAGGACTGGGCTATATCTTAAGCCAAACTAAATATGAGGTAAGATACATAGACAGCATTCGGTGTGACAAACAGCCACCACGACCACTAACCAGGTGGGCAGTGCTCAGGTGGGTTTTAAACACTGTACGGCAGGTGGGGAGAGACGAGACAAGCAGCAGGAAAGACAAAGACCTCCATGTCAACACCATTCTGCTAAAGACAAGGTTGAAAGCTTTTTCAGTTTAAAAACTGGCTCTTCTAAGACTAATAAAATCCATCTGCTCACTCGCACTCTCTGAAATGTGGAGCCCCCAGGGTCAGAGGAAAGGATTGGCAATCCAAACCTGTGCTCACTTCAACACAGGGGAGCGGATGGATGGCCTCCTGGAAGCACAGCACTTCAAGGTCAACAGCTTCTGCCCCATTGCCTCCCCTCCCCTCTCTTTTTTTTTTTTTTTTGGTTGTTGTACAGAGTTGAGGACTAAACCGTCATTTTCCCCATCCCCCAGCTGATCTCAGCCACAGGACCTACCTCAGGTAACGCAGCACCAACCTCCTTCAGGAGGATCCCCCCCCCCTCTCTTTTTTTTTTTTTTTTGGTTGTTGTACAGAGTTGAGGACTAAACCGTCATTTTCCCCATCCCCCAGCTGATCTCAGCCACAGGACCTACCTCAGGTAACGCAGCACCAACCTCCTTCAGGAGGATTTCAAAGTCGGTGCAAGCACATCACCCCTGGTTAAGAGTCACCCGTCCCAAGAGGCTGGGACAGACGTGGTCAGGAAGCCCAGGACAAACACTTCCCCGGTGTGCAGCACCTGCCCAGCTCTAGACCTTGGATGAACCTTCCTAGTTGGAATGTGAACACTTGAAACCCATCCCGGGACAAACTGAGAAACGAAGGGTAGGCATTTTCCTGAAATAGACCTCCATCGATGGCTCCTTGGAATTGATTCGGGGAAATGTAATCTGTGTGCTGCTGAGGATGCAGGCAGCAGGCACAGGAGAAGACATCTGGGACAGCACTAAAGGACAGGGGGGGTGGCAGGAGGGAGGAAAAGCGGGTGGATAAGGAAAGAGGAGTTCTGGAAACAGATCAAGGCTGAAGAATGGATGGGACAATGGACATGGAGCTCTAGGAGGTCAATAACACCAGAGACGGACCCTCTGCCCCGTATATGACTAGGGAAATGACATGCAAAGCCCCTCCATCTTACAGCCATCCTCCCCTTCCCCGCTCAAATCCAAAAATGGCTCACTAAACTGCCAGAAAAAAAATCTTTTTTTGTACATTAGCCTATATTCAAGACTCCAAAAATAACACTCCTGGGCCCGGATTTAGCCCTCTGCAAATCCTGCAACACCAAATTAAGAGCTCCAGTGAGGCAAGGAAGGATGCAGGGGAGGCCAGGGACACGGCTGCGGCAGCCTGGCTACAGGACAGCGAGGGCTGGCTACTGATGCACTAACGCTATTGAGGCTGGTACCATCTACGTCTGGGACTGAAATGTTTCACTTCAGTGCCTCAGGTTTTTAAACTGTTCAGTGGGGAAAAAAGAGAGCTTTGACATGTGCAATGAAGGTGGCAGCCAGAGCTGGGCAGAATCAGCACTATTTAGGAATAGGACCACGCTGATGCAGAGCCACACACCGGCTGTATCCGTCACAAACATCACTAAGAGTTTCTGTAAGACACAAATAGAGCCACCAAAAATCGGCAGACTATGCTTTGCCTCTAAGCCAAACAAGGTCTTTGTTATCTTTTCCCCACAAAAACCATTATGGTAACTGAATCTCCAGGGAATGAAGAGTTTAGTTACACACCAGAATAACTTTTACTTCTCTCTTTAATGAGTAACACAATCTACCCATTCCACCCGTTAGCAGCTCTCCCTCGAGATCAAACAGCTCTCTGGGACGCGGAGCTTGGGAGAACCTCAGCACCTAAACACAAGTCCCGCCTCAGCTCAGAGAGGGTGTGAGGACTTCATGCCACCACCTACCTTTGTTCTCTGCTCAAGCAGCGACTTGGCAGAACAAACCCACGCTTGCTACATTTAACAACCACTTCTCTTACTCCAGGATCCCACCTTGTGTGAGCTCCAGCCCACTCACCCGTGGCTGAAGGTGCAGAGCTCTCTCAGGCTGTCCCACCCATAGCACCCAAGGCAGGAAAACCCCAATGCTTTCTTGTTGACACAACCTCCAGACCTCAGTAAGAGAGATCACCTCCTTTGCTTGCATGTCTGGGGTCAGGGAAAGAGGGTTTAGATCCTGCTAAGAAGGTCAGACTGCTCCCCGGCTCATCCCTTACCTCTTCACACTGCGATTGAGGATGCTGCAGCTCTGCCAAGCCTCTCCAGCCACGTGTTCACGCCGCCTCCCAACACGGCAGGCAGCGTGCAACTCCACAAATCCCTCTCCCAACTGATATCCCCGCACGACTCGCACACCCAGCTCTTCCCCAGCAGCCACAGCCCGCTCAGGGCGGTACGGAGAGACAATGGGCTGTGAAAACCCAACTACAGCATCTCGGAGGTCTGCGCATGACTGACCGCTGCTCCAGAAGGACCTGTGAGGGCACATGAAACTCTGTATCCAGGTTTTGCTTTTGCCTGTGAACACAACAACTGGTATGTTTTCCTCTTGTGCTGCCCGAGAGGCCTTTGCCTTCCAGCGGAGCTCCACAGCCAGGATGACAACACAGGTCCTGTGCTGGTGGAGGCCGAGCCAGCATAGAATCATAGAATGGTTTGGGTTGGAAGGGACCTGAAAGATCATCTAGTTCCAACCCCCCTGCCATGGGCAGGGACACCTCCCACCAGACCAGGTTGCTCAAGGCCACATCCAGCCTGGCCTTGAACACTTCCAGGGATGGGGCATCCACAACTTCCCTGGGCAACCTGTTCCAGTGTCTCACCACCCTCATAGTAAAAAATTCCTTCCATTGCCTCCTCCCACCCAACCTGCCAGCGCTGGAATTGCTCCCGTACCTACGTCAGTCAAGATCCCAGGGGGAGCTCAGTGGCTATTTTAATGGTCATTTTTCCATAACCTGGGTCATTTTGCCAGGACTGGTTTGAGGCATGACAACACCAGCAACTCAAGGGGTGTAGACCCAAGGCGAGGGAGGCAGAGCAGCCAGACTCACCAGGGACAGGACCTGTGTCCCTGGATACTGACACCTGCACAAGCCTCCAGGTAACAAAGACACTTTAAGAGAGCACCTGTGGTCCCTCCTAGCCATTTTCCAGTTATTCTCTTCCACTTTCTCCTAAATATTTGAGTCCTCAAACTCACAGACAAAGGTCAGATGTTTTTGGCTTCATGCAACTTAAGGGGAGACTACACGCTCGTGTTCCGAATTGCTGTGTCTTCCCAAGGCTGCAGAGATTCTGCTATCCCAAATCACAATCAAAATGAACAAAAAGAATCTTTTTTGGCTTAGACAAAATTAAAATGTACCCTTTTTGTGATTTTTCTTTTCCCCCTCTGAGTTAATCTCTCCTTGGTAACCTCCTACACGCTCCAAATCATTTTGCACATTTTTGAAAGATCTGTTGTGCATAAAGCCACAGTGCTGGTGGGACATGTCTGACCCGACATTGTGACCACCTTGTTCCTGCATTATTCTTTTCCCCAAAAACACGTCTGCCCCATCTATTGAAAAGACAAGCTCTCCAGGCTGGGAGCTGCTTTTGTTCCGGCTTCACAGCCCTCCTCTGTGTTTCCTACAGCAGGAAGCCGGTATCTTAACTGGTCCCTTGACAAAAACGTACATAACCTGTCTGTACAGACAAAGATTTTATAGACACACACACACACAGTGTCCCTTTGCATCTGCATCCCCTGAACTCACAGGTTTGACACATCTGCCTCACAAGCACGCACTGGTGGGATATACCCCGCGGGGACAAGAATGTGTGTGTTGCACATGTGCATGTGCAAGAATATACACATAGAATCAGCAGATTTTAAAAATATGTAGCTTTTCATATTACGAGTAAAATATGGATTTGAAACTCAACAGCCAAGTGAAGGGTTTAATTGGAAAGTATC